CACGTTTCGGCTGCTTCAGGAACCTGCAACTTTCAATGTACTGTGGCATCCTTCGCGAGTAAAACTACACATAGACAGCACAAATTTTTCGAGCACTGTCTAGAAGGGTGAATATTGAAAGAAAATTGCTCTGCGTATAAACGCTGATATGCTTGAAAGTCGTTGGCTAAACGCTTGTACATTTTATACTATCAAGCTTAATGTTTACAACAAGCGTTCGGCGAACGACTTTTCGATTAAATAACATAAATAGCGTGGCATATTTCAATGCAGTTCAGATAGCAAAGACTAATTTTTTTACCTTCTAACAACGTCTTGGTCCTCAATCTGCTGGAATCCTCAAAATGAGCAATAATTCAAAATGGCGGAATCCTTTCGGGAACATTACCTTAGCTGACACGCGGGCTCTCGATAGTCTCTATGGCAACTCGCAAGATCCACGCGAATTCCACGAATTCCGCACACTCTGCTGGGGCGCGAAAATAGTTTTTGACCTAGGCCTTAATTCACTTGAGCTATCCGCCCTTTTTATAACTAGGCTCAGTTGACTAGATATGATTGACTTCGAATCCTATCACACGGTGAATGACTAAGCTCTCCTGGTCCTCACATTTCGTTTTAGACCAGACTGACCTTTTGGATATAACTGTATTCAGGTGATCATTTTCCTAGTCTTCCCCTGGAACTCTTTGGGGATTCATTCTCATAAATAACACAATCGTTAATTCGTGACAAACTCGAAAAGTTTTGCGGCACGGAATGAACAATGAACATATAATTAGGTGATCAGGGGTGCATACTTGACTTCAGTTTTGGTGATAACCTAAATAGTCAAAATGGTCGCCTGTGTGGTTAACTCAAGAGAGTAAAAGACTTGAACAGTCGTTTGAAAGCGTTCTCACGTGGTTATTGGGGGGCAAGACTAAGTAGCAGAAATTAAGTTAAGTGACAGTATACATAGTAAGTATTGGCTGTAACTTTCTAAGGGACATGTAAGTGTCTATCGCTACACTACATTCCTTGTTGGCTGTTCCTTTTCATCACTTTCTAGGTGATAAAAAATATCAAAGACTTAAAGATCCTGGCTATAATCTCCAGGCACCTTATTACTTATCCAAAGAAACTAAATTATTTTTATATTACACCTTAGTCTACCCCCACTTAACTTACTGCAATCTAACTTGGTCTTCTACTTATGTAACAAATCTTCATCGAATATTCCTGCTCCAAAAACGGGCAGTGCAAACTATACCTAACGCTTACATTTGCACTTATACTGCTCTATAACTCTTTAAATTGAATATTTTGGATACTATTTTTATATTATAATATATTTTTTACATTTTTTTTCTGGATATTATTAGTTCATTTTCGTCAACAAATTTTATCTTTACGGGATTTCCAGGAAAGATTTTCATCAATGAGTACTACTTAAAAGTTGACTAACCGTTGTCGATTAAAAATGTCATGACTTATGAATAGATAGTTTATGTACAGAACTGCCTCGATTTTATACATCAAACTTCAGGTACGTTCAAGATCGAATTGATAGTTTCTTTGCTGTTCTTGTGCTTTACACGCACCATGATTACTGCTTTCGTCTTATGTTTGACTTCGCTTCCACTTGCCTGAAGCAAACCCAGAAATGACTTTAATTCAATTATAGGAAAATGCTTTTATGAGAAAAAACAACATAATTCGGAGACAATCTTTCTGTCGGAAGTCATTTATTGCATGATCGGCCTACTTAGTAAGCAGAGACCAGTAGAAAGACATGAAATGACAGTCTTTTTTCGTACTGAAACGTAATATCTATGGAAGAAATTTCGCTTTGCCATGAAAGCCATTTTAAAAACTGACAAATGCAAGAAGAGATTAGAGGACAATGCTAGCCGAAGCCTTTCACGCTTAAAACAAATTCATAGAAAACGTTAACATGATATTTCTAGACTCCTTCCTCTTACGGCGTCGATATGGAAGTTTTGAAGAGTACTCTTCATCGAAGAACTGCGTCAACTTCGTAAAAAAAATCTATCTTACACCATTCATCATTAGCCTCTATTCTACAAAGGCGCTCTAGGTCCACATCGTCACTCCACTTCATAAAATGAAAGTTTTAACCATAAACCGCATCAATTCTCTGGCGTTGTTTCCATGGAAAAATAGAACACGATGAATGTTTCATCAACCTTCCAAGACAAAGTCTTATCTACAGAACCCTTTCTAAATTATCAATTCTTCTCCTCGAAGGATTCGCGTTTCTTAGAAATGAGAGTGGGTGGATCTTCCCATAAGGTGGCTCAAAACACCCGATTCGCCTTTAATCTACCGCTTATAAGCGAATCTAATTATTCTCAAATTACCGCATACATGCGGATAAAGTAGGCCCTATTTACCCACCGAGATTAGATTACCGAGAACAAAACAAAGGCCTGGTAAGGTGCTGGATTTGTTGCTTAGCTTCGTACGGTATCGCAGTCGCACTTGACATGTGGCAAGGTTCAAGCGAAAGAGGAAAATTCATCGCTTTTACATCTGGTAAAAGGAGATGAAGGAAGTGTTCACTTATAGTTGTCGCTATCTGGAAAGCACTGACCACGTCTTGCCTCCAGTACTTTTAGTTCGTCGATCATGCGGATCACTGACCGGTAACTCGGTAATTTTCGCTGACAAATCGATCGATTGATTAGTCTGCATAAGTTTGCATAGTCAGACCACAAAGGGGAGAAAGAGAAAAATACTGATCCTCCGAGCGCAAAATGCCAGGCCTGGATCAAATATTTACTTTTCCCGTCTCAGTCTCTTCTATTTGCCGGCTTTAGTTTTACAAATTCCTTGTTGCATTCAACCCGGTTGTTGATCAGGAGGCCTGCTATTAATAAGCTTTTGTTGCAAAATTAATAAATAAAAATTATAATAACCCCCCCCCCCCAAAAAAAAGAGTAAAAGAAGTGTCCTTACTCTTTTATGTTATAATATCGAGAACAATAATTCATGCCACAGTAAAACCAACATCCCTTCCATGGAAGTAGCAAAACTTACTCGAAAGAGAAACGAAAGCGTGATATGGTAAAGATTTCGTCGTTCAGTGTCTAAGTTACATGAAATCAACCCTTCTTGAATTCTCTTTGACAGCCATGGCCATAAATAATAGACTTGATCGGTTGGGGAAAACTGTGAGATCTAAAGCCGTCGATAAGCATTCGAGGGTCTGTTTCCGGGTCCAGTACGCCGCTGTCTACCCCCGTCAGGCCAATGTCGGTCACCAGACATCTTATGCAAACTCAATCGGGCTATTTTGACGGCTAATTGTCTTACGAGTGAATCGATAAGCAACTTCATCGCTTCTTCGTTGGGCTCATGAAGGAATCCCGGTCGGAAGTTATTTTCAAACATGTATTTTTTTTGCCTAGAGTGACGAGCACTCCGAAGAAGCAGTCTTTCATAAGTGCATCGTACCTTTCTCCTGCCAGCAGCACGTACACCATCAAAACTCGCTAAAACCGCTTATTTAAAACAGTTCAAGACGCTGACGAACACCTGAAAATACAACAAGGCGAAAGGTGCGTTAGTTTTAATCTCAAAAGTTGCATTCGCTATTCTATAAAGGTTCCTTTACAAAAAGCTTTGAATACTGTCTTTGCAACACAACATCGCTCGAAGGTAATTGTCGTAGCCTTGTCTTTTCCGTGACCTGTCTAAACATGGATTTTACTGATAGCGGATCTAATCCGCAGCGCGAGAATTGCGAATTTTCTCGCCGATCCAACTCTATTCCTACTCGAGATTTGCGCAAGAATAGGCGCCGAAGTAAACTGCTCAACTATCAGTTATTACACCAGTAGAACACTGGATTTATGTTGAGGTAAAAAGCGATTGTCTGTTTGGTTTGTCACTTCCATTCTCGAAGTCCAAACTTATCGTGAACCCTTGCGTCGACAAGACACGTCTAGAAATTTCTAAACAACGTATTTTTCACTGTTTTTTTTTTTTTTTTTTTTTTACTGAATAAATTACCAAAGACTCAAAACTCTTAAAAAAAATACTGAACACCGACAATTGCGAGACATTGTGTATCTCGGAAAAAATTTGAACTATGATTGTACAAAGGAACTACTATGAGAAAATTATTTTAAAACTGATTAAGTAACTTAAGAAGAAACAATTTGTTTTCTCGGAATTCGTCGCTCTGTTTCTCAGAAAAACCTGCCGTGACATGAAGTGCAAAACAATCATTTTTTTTTTCCTTAGCCAAAATCTATTGGCTAATGGCTGATCTGTCACGGTTGCTTGCGTTTGAAAAGGGAACTTAAAGTGATGTTTTGAATGTTTTCCAAAACACTGTCGATCGGAAGATGATCGTCGCTGCTTGGTTTTCAAGAGAAGTAAAAGTAAATATGTGAAATTAAACCTTTCTTTTGTCAGGTAAGCGTTATAAAATTGATGGCAAGCGTTTCTTTAAATTATAGTCGAACGTCATAAAAATACAATTACAGAAATGGGTTTCAAATTTCGTTTTCAAAGCGGCCAGTAATAGGGGAAAATTCCTGCTCTACGAAAGGCAGTTGGATTTTGTCGTCGCCGTAAGCCCTTGGACGGATTTATACCCGCAAAACAATTTCTTAATTCAATGTAAGGGGAGCGCGTCGATTTGATAGATATATTTCTATATATATTTCTGATCTTTCGTCATGACAAATCCGAAAGAATTGCTCTATGTGTCAGATTTAACACTTTTAATCGAATATAGCGAGATGGTTTTGATCCAGTAAATGGTGTTTTCGGTAATGAATGTGAGAAACAAAGGAAAGCAGATTTCCGATCCTAAAGTTTGAACAGTTTTAATCACAGTACTGGGGAGCGCAATAACAAAGACCGACAAGCACAAACACCTTACGGTTCAGTAAGCAGACATTGGTAGCTCAAACATATATCAAACAAGACAAAACTGACAACCTTCACCACTTTTCATTTAGGTACCTTATCAATTCGAATCAGTTCAAGACTGCTAGAGTTTGAGCTAGTTACGGATAATTCAAATTACTGAGAAACGGTGATTTTTGGAAGTTGAAACTAAATGAAGAAGCGAAGAGACTCGCAATAACTCATCCTGAATAGTGAAAATAATCAGCTAACCGCGTCCAATATCCTTCATCGCCATGAGTGCATCGTCATAAGAGCTATAAGTGCGGCAATCGATATCAACGCATCTATATTTTCCACTTAAACAAGATTAAAGAACTCTGCAGACGAACGTATATAACGGATACTGACTTATAGTTTTGAACTCTTGGTTAAGGCCTAGAGGACAGCCATGAATTCCGTTTGTTTTTTAGTCGATGTTCTATAACGTCATTGTTTTTACTGCTGAAATATTTATTATTTGAAAGCGAAATTATTGGTTTCCAATCGATGGAAGTGTGAAAAGGAATACATAAATAGCACATACAATGATAGTTCGAAATACAGGATTTTTAGGAAAATCACTGTTTTCAGATTATTGTTTAGTGAAAAACAAGTGGCAGTGCGAACTTTACTTGAGTTAGCCGTCCCAAAATATGGCCTCCTGTTTTCCAGAATAGATAACTAGATTGAGTGTGGAAAAACTTGTCTCTGAATCGTGAGTCTCCAATTTTTGGTCAGATTTTTCTTCATGTAAATGGAAACTCGAGTATTGTTTCTTCATGTAACCAGTGAATCTCAATAGTAAATCCTATAAAGCTTGGAGTTTTTAAAACATGTTGAATTCTGAAAAAAAGGGCCTGGAAATAGTTCAGTATCTCAAACAATGCCAAGGTATCCAGTGAAGATGTTGTTCTCGCTTTAGTTTGTACCAGAGAGGGCTTAGTGATGGAGGGAATGGACCCTCGTCATCTGGGAATGATGGGAAAAAAGTCCATGGAGCTCCACAATTATCCTGACGCACTAAGATTGTTTTCAATGGGCTTGGCTCAGTTGGAATCTCTCAACCTGCCTCGAAAGTTTGCTGCTCCGTTCTTTATGGATCGAGCAGAGTGCTTTTGGCAGTTAGGGAATGTCGAAGGGGCGCTGCAAGAGATGGAAAATGCACTGCGGCATGGATTACCAAGATAAGACTTTTTCGCAGAGGTAAGTAAACGAAATGGTCAATGGCGAAGCCAAAGTTTTCCAAAGCCTTTGTGTTCTAAGTACTATAGTAGCATATGTTGTGTTACTCTAAAGTTAAAATTTGAGTTCTGGGCAGGTATGAAGCGAGGAGAAGATCATAGATGAAAATACATTCCTAGTTATTTAATCAAGTCTGGTTTTCTCTTTTATCGCTAAAGTTTAAGTTTTCTTCGTTTTCAGGATGAGTCATCAAAGTGGTCAGATCATGGCTATGCTCTCCTAGAGAGAAATAAATTTGCCATGGCCGAAAGATGTGCCAAGTTTGCCCTATACTTCCATACCTCGCCTAGAACTAGAGCTCAGGCGTTTCTGTGTCAGGTGACTGCTCGATACGAAATGGGTCAAATCACTGGGGAAACAAAAGAAACGAAGGAAATCAAGAGACTGGATCCAAATCTTGCAAAGGTAAGATGACTTGATAGAGTTTGGCCGTTTTTATCCTTGATCAAAAAATCTCATAACAGCACAGAAATTGTGCTTTTCTTGATGCCATTAGACTCTTAGACTACTGAGTTTCTCTTGTCCATTTCATGAAGTCCAAACCACTATGTCCTTTTAGGGGCGTGGCCAGGATTTTTCCAGAGGTTCGCACAATTTTCCAAATCCCCAATTTTTGGTGAGGAAAGGCTTTCGTTTATGGTTGAAACTCCCCCTTCATCATAAATTTTAAAACAAGTGAACTTTTTGAGATGTAAATTTCACTAGCAACATTAACAAGTAAACACATTCTTCATTAACCATGTTTCACGAGGCGTGGACCAGTTTTACTTTAATTCAATTAAATGATCGGGCACCTGGACAGATCTTTACGAATAGCTAAGCAAATATTATAAGAAAGTATATTAGACAGGATCAATAAGATGCTTTCTCCGTTTTCATCTTTTAAGCTTCATGCTCAAGAAAGGAAGGATGATGCCATCAAAAACATGCAGAGTCTGAATTACCAGTGGGCAATCAAGAGCTTCATCTTTGCTTTACTGCTTCATCCTGAAGATGGTTCCAAGATGAAATTCAAACGTTCCGTTGAGAGTCATTTAGCAAATGCTTACTTTAAATTGAAACGATACAAAAGAGCAGTTGAATTTGGAGAGGAAAGCTATAAGTCAAACCCTAACTTTAGGTCCACGGTAAGATAGAAGATTAATTAGTTAAATGAGAACTCATTCGACTGGAAAGTTCGGGTGGAAGAAAACAGTGTTTCAGAAGCAAATACAATCGATGTTATCCATATGTTACCAATTTATTTTACGAGTTTATTCAAGTTTGATATCACTTTTCATAGCAAGCCTATTTCTACCTGAGGAGGCCCATATAGCAAAATTTCTCCTCTTGATAGAGTAACTTTCTGGACCATCCTTCTTAATTTATTCCCTTGTTACACTAAGAACGCGGACTAACTTTCTTCCTCTAAATTTGTGTATTTTCAAATTATTACATCCTGTATTTTAAATAAACTATTTATCGTCTTTTGTTACATAATTTTACTTTTTAGTCCAGGGCCCCTCTGGATAATAGCCTTATGGCCACCCTGGGAAAAGAAAGTTTTACCTCACCTGACCTTGCCATTGACCTTGCTCTCATTCAGTTCTTCCTGATAAATAACACTGAAGAATGAGGTGGAATTAATGATTGCTCATGCATCATCAAACTCAAGACCTTATCACTACTCTGGTACTTTCAGGAGGAAGCTGAAAGGTGGAAGAAACGTGGAAACGATCTGTCCAAGGAGCCAAGTCTAGTGGATCAAGCAATTGCCTGTTATTCACTTGCGTTACAATTTACACCAGCAGAAGAAAAAGACCTCAAAGGGACTATTTTTTCCAATCGTTCTTTGATGTACAACAAACAAGGAAAAGCTGATCAGGCACTGGGGGATGCACAAAATTGCGTGGAGAATAAATCTGGATGGCCAAAGGCAAGAATGTCGATATTTTGACCCACCATTCTGTTAGTAGTAATAAGTAATATCTGTCAAAGCCCTTCGAAGATACATGTGTGTTCGCTGATTATAAAAAATAGGAAGTCGGTGACTGCATCTAGCTTACTGCGCCTGTCATTACTTAGAATACCGTATTTAACTGCCCTAAAACAACGACACTAAAAATTACTCACAACTAAAGATATAATGCAACCAAGTTCTGTGATGAACGAAACAATTATATCAATCTTATAAATATATTATGTTACGTAACACATTGACACCTGAACCGCCTGTAACCGCCCCCCCCCCTCCCCTACTAACTAGAATTTTGTCCCCCACCTTCCCCCATGGTTAGGAGATCAACGAACTCGTTGATAAGAATTCGTCGTTTACACAAATATTTTGATGGCGTCAGGGGGTACTAGAAGGCCATCATTCTATCCTTTCATACTAAATGATCAAACTTGAATAAAGGAGAGCGTTCGCGCGGCCGACCTTCAAAATTTTTAAGTCGGATTTTTCGTTCCTTTGCGATCAAATTAGACCTTGTGGAACTCAGAATATAAATTAGCAATGCTATCTAATACTCTATCAGGAAAATAATGGATATTAAGGTCGTAAAGGTGATAGAATAAGCTCTTGAGTCAATGACACTACAATTCTCCAAAGCGATGCGAACTGTGGCCGTAAACCGAAACCGCACTTCCGGACTTCAATTCCATCGCCCGGTAAACATTACGTTTGAGTAACAATTTGTTCAAAAAACATAACACTACGCAATTTCTTGCCCTGAAGTCAACTAAACTCTTGATGAGTTTTACTGCGTGGGCTTTGTCCACGTAAGAAATTCGAACGTTTTTCGCTTACAACAGTAAATCAAGAACTGTTTTGAATAAAACTGTCGTCTCGAAATATCTTTTGGTCATTTCCGTCTCGCTTCCAATTGATAGAAACCATGAAACTTGTGATCTCTTCACACACGGACAAATTTGCATAATTCACTTTGAAGTTTGATCCGCATGCCTATTTGCACACATGCGAAAATATTTAGCGATTTTTATCTTTCATCTCGATTTTTGAGTAAAAAATCAATCGCAGGACAAATAATCGCCGGAATGCAACACAAAAACTCCTTTGGGGCAAATATTTCATTTGCGGAGCAAATAGTGGCAGCAATGCGACACAAAACCTGCAGGAAACAACAAAACTACGATCACGATCGCCGACGGGAAGTACGAAAATCGAACCATATAGAAGAAGACCGGACTGCATGCACTCTAGAAGGTTTCTATTGTTACAGACATACGGACGGACTTATACTCTGGATAGCGTAGTGTCTACGACTTCACAGAAGTCCATAGATACAAAAAGGAGTTAAGATTGGGAATATCGGATCAACATCGGCGGAGTTCGTTGTGGGCTCGGATTCTATCGTTACCCTCACTCACTCAGATTCTATTGTTAGAGTCACTCAACAGGACAGCATAGTAGCTTACGCTTCTTTTAGAGGCAGTAAGCTACAAAAAAGGATTCCCGGTGTACCATTGCTGACTCTGGTCAAGACTGTGGTGTGTTAAACTGGAGGTCTTGTTGCTCTCTAAAAGTATCCAAGGATTTTCATGTCGTGATCTCATAATTATACAATGGTTTAGTTGAAATGTAGACAATTTATGTGCCACGTATCATATTTTTCAGGCACACTATCGTCTGGGATCTTGTCTATTAGCGCAGAGAAAGTACAGGGATGCGATGAAGCCATTTTCAAGATCACTAAAGTTGTTGCTTAGTGATGCTTCACGGTTGGAACACCACGCAATAGATACTTTGAATCAACTGCTGTACGTAGCATTGAAACTGCCAGGTAAAGTAGTAGTTAATCGTGTCGTGATTTCAAATTTTCCCACAGTGTAGTTTTTGTTTTCTTGACAAGGAATTGACCGAATGAACAAGTCAATGAGTGTTGGAATCAATGAATGAAAAATAATTAAAAGCCGAAGCAAATGAATGGGTCTGGTTGATCAGTGTTCAAGGGACTAATGGTTAGACGGCATGTCGGGTAGTCAATAACAAATGGACGGAACAGAGGAATGGAAAGATAGTTAACTTAATGTTACTATGTATTACTTGTGATTTATGAAGTGTACACTTTTCTTCTTCTAGATGGCACGTCAAGCATACAATATGGCATTCCAAAGACTTACATCCAGACAGTAATAAACAAGGCCGTAAATGACAAGGATTGGGCCACTCTTCATCTTCTCTACTTGGGCGGAGGAGGGCCCACACAGTTTGAGAAAGGTTCAGGAGGACTTGCCGCTGGTTGTGATGCAAGCAGCGTCCCCTTAATAGAAGTAGTAAGCTGCGATTTTCTAGATCTCGAAAAATTCGTTAGCATATTGTTGGATCACAAAGCACGTGACACTCCCCAAGAAGGAAGAAAAACCGCGCTTGAACTGGCTATCGACCTGAACAAATTTGATGTTGCTGGTGTTTTGATGGAAAGAAACACTACTTCAGGACCTAGATTACAATTTGAGGTAAAAAATTCATTGTGTACAACTTTTCAATTTAAAGATATGAAAGCTATCTGATTTGGCTATAACCAAACGATTATACCACATTTAACGATTTTCCCATCACCCGACAGCTTAACAGATTATTAAAGTTGTGGAAAGGATTTATTGATTAAACTTTGTTCTCTTGAGGAACAAAGGTTTGAACGAGGAGAAAGGATGTGAAAGATCGTTTACAGTAACGGAGTCCTTCAATTTTAATGGTGCTGAAATAACTAAATAGCTTAATCCGATGAATTTGTTTATTCATTCTTTGTCGGTTTATTTCAGAGGAAATTTAAAGAGGATGCGAAAAAGGCAAGGGAAAAAGGAGATAACAATAAAGCTATCGAATTATTTAAACTTTCCTTGACGCAAGAGGGAAACACGACAGAGGAACAGCGTACAACGTTACAAACTCTTTGTGAATTGTACTTCCAAGAAAAGGCCTTTGAAGATTGTCTTCGCATAGGTCGCAAATTAAAAAAAGCTCTTCCCAAAGGATACAAAAATGAGGTAATATTTCACACTATGTTTGCTGTTTTACTTTGCTTTTTTTGAGCCTATTAGCAACTTAAGACATTTAATACTGAACGAGGAAATAGTCGAAGTAGCTTCCTGTCGATAAAACAGGACCATTAAAACAAATTCCTCTAAAATCTCCTAGACATAACATTCCATTTAATAGACTCTATTTGTGGAAAAAGTCTGCTTGATAATATTTAGTCTGTCTATTTGTTTATATGTCTGTCTTTCTATCTATTGGTACCTATCTATCTAATCATCTCTTCAATTTATTCATGATTATTCTGTAAAGGATAAAGCTACACAGTGGAAGAACTGGGGAAACAAGTTAAACGAGGAAAGAGAATATAACCTAATGGCTGAGTATTACACACTTGCCATAGAATTCACACCAACATCAAAGACTGAGCTCTTGGCCTCTCTTCTAAGTAACCGATGTTTGGCGCTGAACAACTTAAAGAAGTTCGAGGAAGCTTTGGAAGACGCAAAAGAATGCACCAAAGTGAAGCCAAAATGGTTCAGAGTAAGCAACTAATCCTTTTTTTATTTTCTTTCCATCAAAAAACAGTCAACAGAGCCGCTAGAGTTTTGATAGTGTACTCACAGAAAAAAAGGAGTTCAAGGAAGATTCATGAGCACCCCTCAACTTTCCCCTCCCACCCCGCCAACTCACTCCGGAACACAGGCCTCACACACTAAGCATCGACATGTGTGGCATCTGTAATGGCTTACGCATCATTTAAGATCATTTAAGAGTCGTAAAGTTTTTTTCAGCCTCTTGGTTTACCTATCTAAATGGGTCACTTTCATTCATAAAAATCATTATTAAATCATCTTTAGTCCGTAATATAATTGGGAAAAACTCAAGAAGTGTGTCGATTTTCTGGCGTAAGCTTATAGTGTTTGCAGGACACCAGTAGCAAAGCCTCTACAAAACGAGCATAACCACAGGATTACTGAGAATGATATTTATCGAGTGATCTGTTTGACATCGTCCAAAATGTGTCGTGTAGTGCAACCCCATACATCCAAGATTTAACGTTAGCAGAATGTGTTCATGATGGTGGAAGTTTCGTACTTTTTATGTGAATATAGACAAGTCATACTTTTCATGCCCACGTCAAAAACAGTGCCCGTTAGGCAAGAACCTTCGAGTAATTCCTTAGAGTAACATATTTTTAAGGCGTAAAAGCTGTCAAATAAATGTGAAATAAAGCAGTCTTATATGACTATTCAGTAATGAAACTTATAGCTGGTGCTTACATTATTCCAGGGGTACTCGCGTCAGGGAACGTGTCTGCGAGATTTAAACAAAACTCGAGAAGCTCTGATGGCGTTTTGTAAAGCACACACACACGCTCTGAACGACAAAGAGAAACAGATAACTGCAACAGATGTGATTACAACTGCTATGCTCATAGAAGGTTGGTGCTCTGTTCATAACAAACATTTCTACTTCATTTTTCATCATTAAATGAAACAGTAGATGGGAGAACCTGCCAGTTACGCTAAGATTGGTAAAGGACACTTTCCACATTTTACTGCAATAGAAATGTGTCCAAGCAACGGAAAAGGGAGGTCCTCATTTTTCACTAACAAGCCAACGTTTACAAAATTCTAAGTTCTGAAATCGAAGGCCGAAGGTATATTATTACTCCATTAAACCCTGTAGGTGGAGAGTCACAGATTACATGCACTCTGTCTCCCCAAGTGTTACAATTTCTGGTGAAGGACGCATCAGAAAAGAAAGAGTGGAAGAAACTGAGATTTCTATATCTTGGTAGCATCCCAAGCCCAGCATCTAGAGGACTGGCTATTGAATGTGAGTGTGATGCTTCGTGTGTGCCTCTGGACCTTCTCATCAAGTCGGATGTTGAAGATATACACAGCCTTGTCAAATCTCTTCTTCAACACAAAGCCTCCGTGGACGGATTACGAGGCTGTGCCAAACCTCCACTTTTAGCTGCCATGGAAATGATGAATTTTCCTCTGGCTGTGACTCTATTGAGAAACAATGCTGATCCAGCTTGCATAGTTGGCCATGGGATTTTCATCAACAGAGAGGTGTGAGATTCCTCTTCGGTAACAATGTGCAATCCAGTTTTTGGATCTTGAGACTTCCTTTGATTAACACGATTCGCAAACGCAAACTTCTTTTGGGTAATAGGTATTGTGCTCGGTTGACCTTTATAGGTGTACGTGATCCTTTATTGTGTGTCTTGAAATTTCATAGGGTCAACCTAAGCAATGGCTTCAACTTGGTCGCAAAGCAGTAGATGCCAATGACAGTAAAAAGGCTGTGATGCTGCTCAACATGTCTCTATACCTTTCGCATTCCAACACAGACAGAACAATCAATGCACAGATATACCATGCGCTGGCAGAGGCCTACTTCATTGGGAGTGAACATGAAAGATGTATCGACGCTGGAAAGGAGTGCTTTAAGATACAACCAGTGAAATCAGAGGTATTCTTTTTTTAGGGAGTCTTTTCAGGTTTTCATAACCGTTTGTCTAAGGAGCCAGTGCCAGCAATACCCTATCGCGGATTACCGCAGATTACAATGAATCTAGGATACATAATTTTCGTCCGTAATGGTTGACGTAATCACCTTAATGAATAACTTTTGCGAATAAAATCAACTGACTCATTTTTAAAATTCTTATTTAAAGGAAGAAGCAAAGAGATGGGGAGAACGAGCCAACCAAACCTTCCACTTAAGAAACTACAACCTCTCCATTGACTACTTGAATCAGGCTCTAATGTACACTCCTGCTGACTCCAGAGAGACTTTTTCACATCTGTTGTGCCGACGTTCAGAGGCTTATCAACAGCTGAAGAACTTCCAGAGCGGTTTGGAAGATGCAGTAAATGCGTCAAAGATATGCCCAAGAATGTCTGAGGTAGGTATCACATTATTATGTAACTTCACATTTACCTTTACTTTTACATGAAATAAACAAATTAAATTTACAAGGAGCATTCTTTTTACAGGTTTATCTACACCAACTTAAGTGTTTCCAGGCTTTAAAAAGGAAAAAAGAGGCGATGCATGCGGCGAACGAGTGCTTAAAGAGAACAACAGATGAGGACTTCATTAATGGCCTTTTGTGTGACGCCTTGGCTACTGCTGCCAGTCTTGAAGGTAAAGATTAAAAATCATGAATGGACGTTGCTAATAAAAAAAAAGTCATAAACACAAGTCGTAAACTTGCAGAATCCCAAGCAAAAACGTTGCTCTGTAAGACAGAAAGACAAAATAACTTTCGTCGAGTGGAAAGATCTAGACTAAAAATTATGGGTAACCTTAATTCAAATAGGTTGAAATTAAGTAGTAAACTCTTTCTCTTAGAGGGAACATCAGCTCTAACGGCCCCTGTGCCTAGCAAACTCCTGGAAAAGCTAGTGAGTGACGTGATAAAAAAGAAGAAGTGGCGTAAACTGAGAATCCTGTATCTCGGGGGAGGAGGACCCGGATCACAAGCAACAGGATACGGGGGATTGGCGACTGGCATCAACGCATCGAGTGTCCCACTTGGAGAAATAATATGCTCTAATGTGCCCGAGCGGCTCATTTTAGTGTCAGTCCTCCTCAAGCATGGAGCCTCAGCAAATGGTATTGAAGAATCAGATAAAATACCCTTAGAGGAAGCTATGAGACCGCCAAACCTACCCCTTGTGGAAAAATTGGTGCAGAATGGAGCCAACCCTTGTGTAATGAGCAAAGAAGGAGAGCCTATAATTCACCAGGCATTGAAGATTGGTCTCCAGAAGAACGGTAATATAACTAGAACTGATATAACAGTAGTAGCCTAGGGAGGCAGTGCTATTGTACAAGTTGAACACGATAGGACAACAGAGAAACGCTGTTGTCACACTACTGAAAGAGAATAAAGAGAGTAAAAAACCGCCTCCTGGTTAGCTCAATTGGTTAAGCGCCGGACTGTTGTGTGGAGGTCGACGGTTCGAGCCCCGGCCGGACCAACACTCAGGGTCTTAAAATAATTGAGAAGAATATGCTACCGCAAAAGAAAAAAACAAAAACAACATTGACTTTAGTTTTTTTTTAAATTAAAGAAATAAAGGCTTTTGTAGCCCGCAGTTAGCAAAGCTATTCTAGGCGGGTTACCTAAACAGACACTGTATAGGCTCTCACACATACACACACACACACACACACACACACACACACACACACACACACACACACACACGCAAAAATGAAATAAATAAATAAATAAATGAGCAAATAAAAATAAATAACAAATAATAGTAGTGATAATCATGTTAAAGGTTTTAACTGGGCCAGTCACACAAGTAAGTTTTTAACAGGTCAAAGAGAAAGCTAATCAGTTAAAATACAAATATAAGCTAGAAAGGTCAAGGTAGCGCAAGTCAACATTCATCTCCTCAATTTCAAGAATTTTCAAAAGCAAGTGAGTTAGCTCACGTTTAAAAGGTGCTTTCCTTAGTTTACGAATTTCAGGGGGGATGCCATTCCATATTTCGCACCAACTCTAGAAAAGGAAAACAACTGATGACTTGTTCTCGCCTGCTACCTTTCTATAACATCGATCAAGAAATGGTTAGATATTCTAGTCTTCTCGGATAGGGAAGAATAAATGGAGGTCCCGTCTCCTGCATCTATTAATTAGTTAATTTGGTTAGGCAGGGGACGTTAAAGAACCCACTTCAAGAGATTACTGTGATGTGGTCTGGTCTGGTTACTGGGAATTGGGGGGGGGCATCTGTTACATTCGCTTTCATTTGATTGTAAACTGCTTAACAGTCTGGTAAAGTCCCCCGTACAGTGTTGTAAAGCGCCATGGGTTTAAGATATGAGCGCTATATAAATACAAGTTATTATTATTATTATTATTATTATTATTATTATTATTATTATTATAGTAACAAGGACTTGACCTTCTCTGGAGAAAACTTTTCATTTCAATTATGAGTGCTTATTTTTGGGAACATAACCTATTTTCTAATTAATACTTGTCATGATCGATTTGTCAGGGAAATTTGAATTCTTAAAAGCAATGCTGAAGTCCACACTTCCAGAGGTTCAAAGTGTCCAAGACACAGACGGTAACACTCTCTATCACATTGCATGCTTTGGCAAGAATGTGATGAAAAAGAAGTATGACGCAATCCGAATACTTCGAGAGGCAAACATCAACCCGAATCTCCGAAACAAGAGGAATGAATATCCAATAGACAAGGTTCCGTCCAAACGTGATCCTCGTTGGAAGATGTTAGACACTGCATTACAGTGTTACAAGTCGAGTTCTTTAGACACTGATCAGTCGAGTTCTTCAGACACTGTTACCCACAAAAACAACCCCGAAAAGGTGTCTGATGAACAAGATCAAGACCTTCAACGGGCAGATAGAGAAGAAGAAGAACAAGTTTCGAGTGGTAATGAAGAAAAAGCGACAACAGGAGCCAGTAATACGCCTCAGAACGTCAATGTTTGGAAGATAGATCATAAACAGCGGCAGCGAGAGGAAAGGACGAAAACTATTGGCAGATTGATAGATGACATAAAGCCTCTTTCTACATTTGTTCCACATGGAATTGATACAAACGAAGAGCACGATGATATCGAAATTTTTAATGAGTCTTCAGGGAGCCCTCAGACAGCAGAGAGTATCATCGATGTGGTAAAAAAAGACGAGACCGTATTTGACGATCGAGATGTTGATGAGAATGAGATCATTGCAGATAATTATATAGAAACAGATATCGACTCCAAATCTCCTTTTGAAGATCTTCCTTGGGAAGTGGACTGTACTGATCGAGTTTGGAAGATTATGAGAAATAAAAAAGTTGGTGTCTCTACGAGGAGACGTATAATTGATAAAATTCGCATGTTAGCCAATGGAAGATGGAGTAAGACACTCTGCAAGAGACTCGAAGGTGAAGCAAAGAGGAAAGACATCGAACTTTACGAATCAAAGATAACAAAAGGTCAACGAATAATTTGGGAAAAAACGATCGCTTTTTCTGGTCGATGCAGCGAAAACCCTGAGCTCCGTCTGAACAAGAAGACTCATGAGGGTCGCATCTACTCAGACATCATTCGGGTATGGGACATTGTATTAGACCACGACAAACTTGACCGTTCTATAGACCTCATCGTCAAGTCACATGACAGAGGAATGGATTGTATTGTGAAAAGGAAACTCAAAGGCATTCCGGTGAAATCTGGAGGCAACAGCGTGTTAACTTCCGAATGTCTACCGAACAGTTATGAAGAGATTGGTGATTTGGGGCTAAAAGGAAATCCACCTGCCAAGGAAAGCGAACCGAAGAAGTCCACTATTGCTGACAATTTGCCTCAAATTTTCTTTCCACCCGCAAGTGCAAATGAGCAAGAGTATCACATACTCAAGTTCTACTCATTCAGCACTGCTCTCGTTAAAACAGTACTAGAAAGTGACATTTCTTCTAGGATCGACTTTCCTTTCAAGATAACTGAACTCGAGCATGCCATCGTTAACCTCCGCCCAGATCCTCCGGTGCCCATCATTCTTCTTGGTCGAAGTGGTACGGGCAAGACCACTTGCTGCCTATACCGCTTATGGAACCAGTTTCAAAGCTACTGGGAAAGTGCAGAAACTGCTGGCCCCCACTTTCCACGATATCTGCCCCCTCCACTGAAAATTGGTCAATGCTCCAACGACGATGAAACCCTACAAGGTAAAATCGAGCAAAATGTAAACCAAGCTGAATGTAGTCAAGAACAAGCATCTCCTGAATGCCAGCAAACCAATGCTTTGTCGTATTTAGTTTCAGCTTCGACGTTACAAAATGACGACCAAGTTCAAGTGATGCAATCAAACTCTCGCTCTACAAAGGTACAAAACCAGCTTGATCTAGAAGAAAAGAAGCAAACTGATATGTACGAACATCTACACCAGATCTTTATTACAAAGAACAATGTCCTCTGCAGCGAAGTCGAGAAAAATTTTAAGGAGCTATGCCATGCGTGCCCGGCGGCACAACACCGTATACCATTTGAAGACCAACCTCTTCCTGCCAAGATTCAGAACATTGCTGAAGGAGCGTGGCCACTTTTTGTTAATTCGAGAGACTGGCTTCTTAGGTTAGATGCCTCTCTTCCTGGAAAAACCTTCTTTAAACGCGATGAGGATGGTAGTTTGCTTCGGAAAATTGATGGCTGGGGAGGGGAAGATAGCCATTTACAATTTATTCCAGCCGCGGAATCAGACGACGAAAGTGACCACGAAGAAGAAGACGAGGGGCTCGTTGGAACCCAACATGACAGCGTAGACACTAAACAAAAGGGAAAAGAAACATCCTTTAAAGAAGACAGAGACCCCAGAAGGGAAATCACTTACCCAGTTTTCCAGTTTGAGTTGTGGCCAAAAATGAAAAAGACTTCGAAAGAGAGGGTTGATTACCATCCCACTTTGGTCTGGACAGAAATACGGTCCTTCATTAAAGGTTCTGCTGAAGCCCTGTTGGGTGAAAATGGAGAGCTTTCACTCGAGGATTATGAGTCCCTGGGAAAGAAGAAAGCTCCAAACTTCTCTGCAGACAGAAAGGTAATTTACGATCTGTATCGAGTTTATAAACGAGAGCGATCCTCAAAACGGATGTTTGATGAAGCAGACTTGGTTTACAACATTCACAAGCGTCTTCAACTTATTACTGCTCCTGAATGGTCAGTTCATCAGTTCTACGTGGACGAAACCCAAGATTTTACACAAGCGGAGTTGTCTCTATTAATTCGTTGCTGTCGCGATCCAAATCAACTGTTTTTTACTGGTGATACAGCACAAAGCATTATGAGGGGAATTTCCTTCCGCTTTAGTGATCTAAAGTCTTTGTTTCATCACGCCAGGAAGGCGGCAGGTATCACTGATGACCTGAATGACTTCATCAGAGTCCCAAAGAAATTGTATCAGCTGACACACAACTATCGATCACACGCGGGAATTCTGCGTCTTGCCTCCAGCGTGGTAGATTTGTTGCTGAGATATTTTCCCGACTCATTTGACAAATTGCAGAAGGATGAAGGTCTTTTTGAAGGACCGCGACCGGTCCTTCTGGAATCCTGCAGTCCTTCAGACCTGGCAATGATTCTTCAAGGAAATCAACGGCAATCTTCAAGAATCGAGTTTGGTGCTCATCAAGTGGTTCTTGTGGCATCAAATGAGGCGAGAGAGACATTGCCGGAAGAACTGTCACATGGACTTGTGATGACCATCTATGAGGCCAAGGGACTTGAGTTTGATGACGTCTTAATTTACAATTTTTTTAAAGATTCTCAGGTAAAATATCAAGATCTCTAAAATTATCGATCAAAAATGTTTTCTTCACTTTGAAATGAGGTAAAAAAAAAACCATGGTTCCTCGAGTTTCAATATGTATTTTTAAGGTACTACAGGCTACTTTAAACACTCTTTGGCGGTACGTGTATGGGACTGAATAAATGATGAGTGTATATTCAATAGCAACCAAAAATGATTACCCGTCTTTCTTTCACACCATTACAGCACTAAACTAGTGGTTAATATATTGGAAATCTAAATAGTTTGGGCTTCGCATAAGTGATTAAAGAGTGTTTTGAAAACGTAAATGAAGCATCCTCGGCATTTTTCATAATTGAACACACATATCTTGTTTTGTACTTTCATGCCCCAGGCTACAAAAGAATGGAGAGTTGTTGCCAGTTTCATGAGAGATGAAGGGTTCACTAATCTTTCAAGTTCGACTGGTCTTGCTGAGATAACAGAAGACAGCGTTACGGCACAATCCTCCCGTCCCCTTGAATTTGATCCGGACAAGCACAAGGTTCTCAATTCTGAACTCAAGTATTTATACACAGCGATCACTCGAGCCAGAGTAAACGTCTGGTTCTTTGACGAGGACAAAGAATCCAGAGCGCCCATGTTTGAGTTCTTCCAGAAATGTGACCTTGTTAAAGTTGTATCAATGGGAGATGGTGACACTGGATCTGGTGAGCTGGCCAGCATGTGTGCTACTAAATCAACGCCAGATGAATGGCGGAAGGGTGGTTTGCGTTTCTACAAACGCAAGTTGTGGAGGCTTGCTATACAGTGCTTTGAGTTCGCTGGTGATGAAAGCTGGGTTCAGAAAAGCCGAGCACAGCAACAAGCGGCAGAAGCCATAAAATTGCGTTCCACAAATCGTCAGCAAATGAAGGACGAGTTCCTCAAGGCTGGCGAAAGCTTCCTGAAATGCGACATGTATGATGAGGCCGAGATTTGCCTAAACAACGCCCGAGAGTGGACTCTTTTGGCTAGACTTTACGAGAAAACAGGAAAGGTTAGGAATACAACTGAATTAATGAATTCTTTGAAGCTTGATAAGTTTGCAGAAAATTTATGCAATGCTGGGTTAGGGTTTCTTCATGAGTGTGATGCGGCGATCAACTCGAAGCTTAGACATCCTCCCCCCCGCCATTTGAACTTCTGAAAGTTGGTTTGTTCAAATTCCCGCCCCCCAGGGCAAAAATTGTGTTCAAATGCCCTACCCAATTTTTTTTTGTAAAAGGCAAGGTCAACGACCGTGACTGTCTGCACATTGATTAAACTTTTAGACCTTTCCTTAGAGCCATTTACTCGTGGAAGTGAATTTTTTACCTTTACCGATCTCCATGTTCAAAGATATAACAATTGCATTCTACTGGAAAGATTTGACACTACCGGTTCAAATTCCCCCACCCCAGCTAGGCAGGTTCAAACTCTCGCTGCTTTCCCCCTCCCTGCCACGGAGGCTTATCGAAGCGTCGAATTGATCGGCGTTTAACACTAGTCAGGCTCTTTTCTGCTTTTTTGTCAACACTGACTTTCGATCCCGGTTATTTTTTCACGAACTGTTTCCAACTCTTTTATTTCGTTTTTCGATAGTTTCAAGATGCTGCTCGCCTTTTTAAGAAAGAAAAACTTCACAAGGAAGCAAGCAGATGTTACGAAGCACAGAACAACTACGCGGAGGCCATCGAAGTCTTTTGTCGTGCAGGCATCTTTGAAGAAGCGCTCAGTGCCCTTGAACGATATTATATCCTGGCATCAAGTGGTGACTTAGAGGCTAAACATGGTATTATTCCCCCAAGATCTACTCGAACGACGGAGAGGTTACGTCATCAACTTGCAAACCAACATTTCAAGAGAGGGGAAACAATCAAAATGGAAGAGGTCCTTCAATACCTTCCATCTGCTACCGACCGTATAACATTCTTGAAGAAACGGGGATGTATAATTGAAGCAGCCAGAGCCTTGGATGCTGACGGAAGACGGGATGAAGCCGCTAGACTTTTAAAAGACGCAGGAAAATTTGAGGAAGCTGAAAGATATTCTACTGATCCCAAGTTTTCCGCCGATTGTTTGATATCACTGGCTCGCACCACTACGAAGAATGACGACAGTCTTACGATTCTGGAAAGAGCTATTGAGAACTATCAGCTCTGTGGTGACCTCAACGGCCAAGCAGAGGCCTTGCTCTTACTGGGAGGATTGTCTGATGACTCTAAGAAGCTCCAGGACGCGGGGAGATTGTTTGACAAAAGTAAGAATCCCTGCGGGGAAGTAGAGAGTGTTATGCAATTGCTTGAGACGACGAATTTTGTACCTCCAAAAACCTTCCAACAGTGGATGGCTGTGAGAGCCTTGGAGAGAGTTCTGGGACTGATTACTAGATTACACATGCCTCAGAAAAAACTAACCTTGGCTGAAGAGAGCGAAATTATAAGGTGCGAAGAGCATTTTGGACTTTTCAAAACCAACGCCGCTGACGAAAATAGGTATTTGTGCAAATCCGGGGGCAGATTCTCCACGGTTTATCCCCAAATCATTGAAAACCATACCTCTAACACGGAGGTGATGATAAACACACTTGATGCACACAAAAAAATAGGACGATTCTTACTTAACGTCTGCGCCAAATTAGTTGAAATGATTCACGTGATGTTAGAGAAGACGCTGGCTAGAAGTACTCCGTGCACGAAAATGGAAATGGGAACGACGTGCGGCGATTCAAGTTGTGAAAATCAGCATGAAGATACGTTAGACCATTTCAACAACCGCTTCCTGGCTCTGTTCCATTTCGTATATTTAGAATCAGTAGTTGAATCGTTCAAGTCGGAGATAGCTTCAAGGAAAGACGAGCAGGAGACCCTCAAATTAAATTTAGAGGGATTTCGTGGATTCCGTGCCTGTCAGCGTTTTTACGACTTCTTGGTTCCCTCGTCTGGTTATAGAGAATACCATCTTTCATTGGGGAACATTCGCCGCCTTAACAAGACAAAACTAGTCACCAAGCGAATTTTTCAATTTGCCAACGTTTTATGGAAAGAAAATGCCGAGGAGTTGCGCCGGTCAGACACGAATAACTTTCTCAAAGTGTCATTTTGTTTGCAGCTTATCAACTCTTCTCACTTCACGGTGAAGTGGATTTGTGAAGAGGAAAAAAAGTTCGAAAAGAAGACAAGAACGCCAAAATTCAGGCCCACAAGTGAGCTGTTGGCAAAGAACGGAATGACTGGTCCTGATGAAATTGGACGCTACGAAAGCTACTTGCAATGGTGGGAGTACGGCAAGAAAAGGCTCTACGTTTACGGTGACGTGCAAAACGCTGCTCACATCATCATCAGACGTTTCCTTACTCTAACAGCAAAGCGAAGTAAGATGAGATATCCATCCATTGCCAATACCGTTATGATCCTAGAACATCAACTGACAGCTTGCCTTGCCTTGTACAGCCGTTTGACTACAGAGAACCGTGTGTGTCCTGTGTGTCTACCAGCAGGTTATCTGACTATGGTGAGGTTTTGGGACAATTGCAGGCCCGGAGCCGACAAAGGCACACTGACCTTGTACCAAGCTGTTGAGAATAGCTACGCTCAAGAGGCCGATAAAATAAAACTGTCCAAAGCCGTTCGCTCTTTGTTAGACTACATGGTGACACTGACATGCGGCCAGGTGGCCCATTCATTCGATGTTTTAGGGGACGCTCTTGACTCAGGAGAGAGTTCATCTTATTGTGACTCTGGAGAAGCAGAGAGAACCTTGGTGCTCTTCTTGACCATGATGTGCAATTGTGGTAAAGGAATTTCGATTCATCTGGAAGAATTGATGCTCAAAAAGATCTTGCGTATCAAGTCAAATCCTCGGTTAACAAGCCGTATCAACAGAGAGTTAGACAAAATCCAGGAGGCGCAAGGATCCCGTGATGTAGTAATGATATTGAAGACGTTCCTGAAAAGTAGGGCCGAAGAACTTTATGATCTCCGCTGGTATAATGGAAAATTATGGTATGATGGAGCATGCAATCCAACTACTTACCCAAACACATTCCACACAGACCTGTCGCACATACGCGAAGGACTAAAACAGGATCAAGGCCAAGAGAAAACGTCTGAAGACACTGAAACTGTAAATAAAACCGTAGCCGAAGCATCGGAGGAACGCATGGATGTAAAACCTACGGAGGAAGAGCTCAAAGAGAAAGAAAACATTCTAAGAGATGTGAATGCTACCACAATCCAAAGATGGTACAAACGAATGAAGTCCCTGGAGAAGAAGAAAGCGCAAGCCGGAGTAGTGCCCGCTAAAACATTACATAGGCTAGAGCCCACCCAGAAACAAATAAATTCAGAATCTGATGTCTTAGAGAAACATTTTTCCCAGTTCAGAGTCGACTTAACTGCCTGTGGAATCTGTGGGATCAGTTTCAAGCCTTCAGCTGAAGACACCTTTCATATGAACAATGAAGATAACGAAGGTAAAAAATCTATTTTCATTCTGAAATTATCTAATTAAGGCGTTACTTTCGTCGGCGTGCGAACATAAACCTTTTCCTTTGGTTCGCATTAAAAGAGATACGCGGTGACGTATGCGTACAGCTCAGTTGTATTAATGTACTCAAAACAGTATCGACAGTTTACTGATAATGTGATCAAGCTGAGGTTAGAATGCTAAAGAAAATGTTCGCACCTATCTTCAGTCGGTAACTTGCAATTAATGATCAAAATTTAGTGCACAAGTTTGTTCACTCCCTTTGAATAATCCTCACCTGCGTTACAGACTAAGTAATAGGGTGTGCTAGCTGATAAACGTACATACCTCTTCATGGATTACCTGTACTTTGTAAACCACCAGGAGAAACGGCTTCAACAGACAATGACGCAGAGAATGCAGAAATCCATGGAAATTCCTCGGCACATCTGGTAAAAGAGAAGGCTTACTTCCATTACAAAGATATTTATTTGTCAAAAGTCCAACCCTTATTTACACGAGAGAAACAACTACTCAAGGTGATAAAGGACCATTCCTTGTCGGCTAAAGTCGAATTGGATATGGAACGCGTAGAGACGAGTCTTTCTGTAGTGAAGAGTGAAGTACAAAACGTGGAGTCTACTTTGAATTGGGAAAAAGTCAGCCCTCTACAAAACGCAGTAACAGATTCTGAAATCAAACTGCAAAAGACGGAAAAAGTCGTAGAACAAGGTAATCACGACAGGTGTTTAAGCAATCTTTATATAAGGGTATGCCCCTAGAATACATTTCAAACAACATCAAAATGATTCGTCGGGAATCGGGCGAAATATTGATATCTTAAAAGATTAAAAGTTAAATTACCTTTGTAATATGGCCTATGGTAGGGGGGTGGGGGGTGGGGGTTGGATCAGTCTCTCACTTTGACTCTCTCGAAGGATGGTATAGTTTGTATACTAAGTGACAGCTGATGAGTCAAACATTTCCCAAAATATTTGACATCTAAAGGTAATAGGTTGGTAGGTAACACAAATCATATAAGAGGCAAACTTTTTTCCTTCAATAAAATCGGGGACGCAGCCTTGATTTACTGAGATTTCTTTTCACGCAAAAAAACATTACACAAAGCTTTTTCTAATCACCAGCGAAACAAGAGTCCTTCACTGCAGCTAATGAAGACAGTGAGCCAGAAGAAGAAGGAGACGGATTGCACGAGGAAGACAAAGAAGAAGAACATGATTTCAGTCCCATTCAAGAAATCCCACATGGAAACAAAAAAGGTAGTGGCAAATCTAAGTAGCGTCGTAAAAACCGTAAGAAGTAGAGAGATTGCGAGAAGGCATTTTCAGTTGCAGAAAAGATACATTTCCCTGTAAATACAATAGTATAAATATGTTTCAAGCTATGCAGAGTTTTAAATGACCTGTTGGGTAAGTTAAATCTCGTTTCGAATCTATCAGAAAAGATACCAATATTATAGGAAAAATCAATACCTGACGAAGGAGTTCCAGGTGAAATTGCACGCGTAACCGATTTTGCACTAATCCCTAAGCGATGAGTACGATATCGGTTTTCAAATGCAATTCTATGGGAAAATTCATCACTTGACGAGGGAATTCCGTATTAAATTGCACGCGAAAACCGATATTGCACGAATCGCGAAGCGATGAGTGCGATATCGGTTTTCAAGTGCAATTTATGATGGCAATTGAACTGAGTGGAGTGCAATTTGTATAGGTAATCACATGATTTCGAGTGCAATTTGGAATAAATAAGCACGAGTAAATTTTTTCGAAGACTAACAAAATTGCATGAGCCCGTAGGGCGAGTGCAGTTTGTGGTCTTTGAAAAAATTTACAAGTGCTTATTTATTCCAAATTGCACGAGAAAATAATGTGATTATGTATTAATAATATACATGAAAAAATACGAGGTAGCTTCTCATAACTACGCAGAAGAAAAGCGCGCGCATCACGTGCAAAAATAATTTATTCAAACCCAAGTGACCTTGACCTTGACCTTGATATTGACCTTGACATTGATCAATCATTCTGACCAATCAGAATGTCTGGTTTGTTTCTTTCTTTGCACTGAATTAACTCTCTTCTGCACTGAATTAACTCTCTTCTGTGCCGAATTAACTGAAAACTGCATTCATCTTAGCTAATCAGAACTGAGAAATTTTTTCATGTATATTATTAGGGCTGAAATCACAAGTATGATTTCAGACCAAAATTGCGCGACACAAGGTTCAATTACCACTTTATTACATCCATTTTGAAATTGCCCGAATACAGGACTTGGAAAATTCAAATCTTTTATTGATGCAGTAATGAGCCGGTTTTTAAATAAAAAGCGGAGCCGAAAATGCTTTTACATCTTATTTCGTTAAATAGCCCTAACGGTTCTTCAAATAGTCTGTAACTGACGATGATGTTCGTAACATCGAAACATGTCTTATGAATTAAAAAATGTCGTACTCTTCTTGAAGATAACGATTTGCTTTCTGCTGTCTCGACCTTTTAGTCAAAACAGAAAGACTTTGACGTCATGTGTCAAAAACTCAGTCAAGCGTAAAATGATGCGATTTAGAGCAAAAAATGGTGCGATTCGTGAATAAATCGCACCAATTAGAGCCAATAAGATTACAGGGACCACCAGTGATTTCAAAATGGATGTAATAAAACACGGAATTCATGAGTCAAGTAATAGATTCTCCTTGAATCACATAATTGAATAAAAACAAGAAGAAAAAAAGAAAAGAGCATTACTTACAGTTGTTATGTATACGTAGATGCGAAAAAAGGTCACTTAGCCTCTTTTTCAACACGCAATTCCACACTAAATACCTTGCTTCGTTAACCAATCAGAATGCGAGATTTTATTCAATGATGCGATTCTACACAGAATTCACGAGTCAGGTAAGGGATTTTCCTTCAATCGCTTAGTGGAACAACTTTTTTGCAGCTGTGGTGTTACCATTTGACGTTAGATGGTATGTATGCGAAACAAGTTATCACTTAGGTTCGTTTTCAATTCGGAATTCCACGCTAAATACTTCGCTTTGTTAACCAATCAGAATGCGAGACTTTGTTTACTTATGCAATTCTCTGCAAAATGGAGACATATCAGAACGAGCTTTTAGAAATTTAGTAGAGAACGAGGATTACCATAATTTGTGGGAAGATTAGCGTTCTCCAAACCCATTTTAGGGGGGGAGAGTATTTTTTTAAAGGATGTTTTTAGGAGTGGTTTAAGATTTTTTGAGAATTAACAAATGGTAAACACCACAGCGTACACTATTGAGTTGTGGATGCACACGGAAGGTTGCTTAGCACGAAAGAAGGGTAGTAGTCGCGCGAGGCGATAGCCGAAAGCGCTTCTAGCTTCTTGAGCGCTTAGCAAACCTCCAAAGAGTGCATCCATAACTCAACAGTGTACACTACGGCGTTTACCATTTGTTTTATAACATAACATTGCTACATTGTGGCAAAAGAGTTTTCTTTTATTTAATAAATCTTACGCGACCAGAAAAAACAAGCGCGCGCGGAAAACTAGTCTTTGCATTTGCTCAAGTCCGCAGCGTACACCCATGGGCAAATGGTGGACGTTGAGGTGGCTCGTACCAGTTTCCTCGCGCGGGAAACAGGTTGCTCTTGCGTGACGCGCGCGAGAGAAATGTGCGAAAGAAGCGCGAGATCAAAAGATGAAAATTCATAACAAAGATGGCAGCGCGTGGAATTTTTTCTACTTTCGTGAGAAGTTTACCTAAGAGCTTGTATTTGATGTGTTGAGCGGCCACTATGAATGCAGGAGATAGAAACTAAGATAACGAAGACGATTTTCGGAGAAGTAAAGGTTGCTTCACTTCACATTTAAAAGAAATATTCAACCGATATGAAATCTTGCGACGGCGAAAAAAGAAGAACTCAAGTGAAGGATAATCTACCTGAAGTGGAAGAAGACTTTGAAACTTCAAGGAAAATAATATGATATAGCCAGAAGTCATGTGTAGGATTTTTAAGATGAGCTCGGGAGGCTGTCTTTGACGGCTGTTTAATGATTTTCTTAGCAGTAAACGTCCGTAAACATCAGATGGTAGATGCTTGCGCGAGCACACGCAATTGTCAGCGGTAGCTAAAACAGATCATGAGCAAACGTCGATCTTATAGAACCCAGATTTTTAAATGCGCGAGAACGCGCGTGGAAATTGCTAAAACTCACGAAAGCTATTGCATGAAAACAAGTTCGGTGACCCCTTCTTTTTATCGTTCCAATATGATAATAACGTCGGGAAGAATCATCAGAAAAAAAACTAGAAAATTCTACGGAAGGAAATTTGCGATGTGTGAAAATTGCCCTTTTGGTAGATTTTCTAAAATTCCCCTCCGTAGAATTTATTGTAAATCTTTGTGCATTTTCCTTTTCAAGTGCCAAAAGCAATCACTGAAAAAAATCAGGGGGTCACCGGGTTAGTTTACGAATTATTTAAGCCACAAGCTAAAAAATGCGTCTGAATAAATGAAAGCGTTGCCATGGAAACTGCTAGTGACGAAATGACAATTATTTTTGGATAACCAATGATTATGTAATTCAACCCCGTAAAAGTGTTCAACTGGCCTTGGTCAGTCTTTCTGTTGTATTCTTTCAAAGTTACAAACCATCAAAAAGATGAAAACCGGTACGAGCCACCTTAAATTGACCAATCAGAACGCGCGCTTTACTTTGGTGATGCAATTTTTTACAACTCGTCTCTGTAATCAGAATTTGTCTTAATTTGGGTTGCTTCAAGGGTTTGTAGGTTAGACTCGCGCTAATATTTTATTCCGTAATTTTACTCACGGCAACTCGAAGTTAGATAACTCGGACATCCCTCTCAAAGAGGTTTTACTTCCCTTTGGAGATTTTCCATAACGATTTGCCCTTCATAGCTCGATCCATGTTTTTCAAAACACGCAAAAGTAACCAAAAACAAAAAGAGAGTCCTATAGTATCAAGGAAGCTGTTTTTTCCCTTAAGTTTCTATTTTTACAGTCAAACTTGATTAAAACGAAGATGAAAATAATGAAAAAGGTAGATTAGTTGCGTTTGGCAGGATACACCAGAATAGAAGAAATTAAATCAATTATCATTTGGTGAATGTAGTGAAATTAAAAATCTGTGATATGAAGGGGATGATTAAAGAAGTCGTTGCCCAATTGTAAGTCTTTTTGTTCTCCTTTCCTCATCCCTCTTTCCTTGGGAAAAATTTTTTGTGTCAAATTTGGAGACGGGCCAGCCCAGTGGTCGAAATTATGGAGACTTGCCGATCTATTATGGATGTAGGTCGCGACCACACCGGAACTTACCATATCGTGCGGCAAACGATAACATGTTTTATTACACGACTCGGGCAGTCAGAGGGCCAATAACTAAAATCAACCATCAAAATGCTCTATTGCCGGTCAATATTCTCTCAGTATTGGACCGGGCACTGTCCCGAATGGTCCCGAATGATACCGCACTTGTGTCCCTTTGAACTTCAGTCGTATAATAAATCTCTTATTAACCAAGCTTGCTCGGGACCGTACTGGAAGAATATCGGCCCTCGGTCTTTTTTGTACGGACCTCGCTGCGCTCGGTCCGTACTGTCAAGACCTTGGGCCGATATTCTCCCAGTACGGCCCTCGCGCTTGGTTAATAAGATATATATCACACATGGGTGTCATAGTTCAGAAAATTTCCGTCTCCCTCCATAGGTAGCCCTCATATGACGACCACTTTTTAAATTTCCTATGTCCCCAAGGCAGCTGCTTTGGAGAGCCTCGACCATGATCTCAATCGCCGAAAGCGCACTGTCCGGGAGTAATATATGTGAGCGCCCCCCACCCCCTCCCCCTTGAGATATGAAAAAAAATTGGCTTCTTTATGTATTATAAAACTATCGAGGAGCTCACCTGGGTATGCAGGAATGCATGCTCTAATGTAGAACACCTCAATGTTGGAAAGTTCTGCCGGCAGCTTTGTCTTTCCTTGGTGATATCTACCGTTTGGATAGATAATCACAAAGTTCAAATTTCTGCACGACGTGAAAAGACGATTGCCACTTTGGACTTAGTATCGGAAAGGACTCTTCATGTTGATTCAGCTGATGCGGTCCACGGAAAAAGAAGATATTCCAGATTTAAATAATAACATCGACTTTCTCAGGAAAGGGTTAATAAACAGAAAATAAGGCTTGAGTTCACTGCGTTGGCAACGCTGACGCGTGGTCACATGACATGCGCGCAGCGCGATGAACAGCCTATATATTCCCGCTCGTTAAAAACATATACAAAACTGCGAGTTGGCTCTCCCGCTGTAAATGGTAGCACCCGGAATCATTTTTCATCGGTAGACGTCACAAATTCTCACTGCAGACCTTTTCCGCAATAACACCAGCTGTTAGTGTGCAGCGGAGCGAAGATTAGGATTTTAAAATTTGAGTTTGTTTTGAATGAATGAATGAACTCACCGATCCTTCTACCAGAATGTTGTTTCTGTTGTCTGCCTCTCATTTTCGCAGGAAATAAAGCTGTCTGTTCGAGTGTGTGAAAGGTAAGGCGTTTTTGAGTGTACTATACTGGTTAGAGAGGTAACACAGAGCTTATGGGGAATATTCAAGCTATTCGCTGACCATTCCATTTTGCATTTTGCATTTTGCTCGGGAGTTGACACACGAGGAATAAAATATTCATTCAACTCGAGGAATTTTAACAACACAATGCAATATTACTGTAAATATCCAACTACACTGCTGTTCTTGTTACCCTACTTAAGCCGAGCTTGTCAGATGTATCAAACCATTGAACATTCCAGACGAGTTCAGTGTGAATGGTGAACACATTCACACTAACTGCTTGTTTTCGAATGAAGGACCAGATTTCTGTTGCCTGCTTTACAGTCTCTGAATATTTCATCCATTACTTCAAGAATTGCCTCATTTGATGTTGTCATTCAGAAATTAGGGGACTAGTCTTACTTTTGAAAACAGAAAACTCACCCAGAAAAATTGCGTGGAGGGTGCTCGAAGTGTGTTGTCGTGAGCCCTTCTGAAAGGTGCGATAATTATCAGTCAGTAAGCTTGGGATTATTCAAATTTTTTCTGGCTGGTCTGAACCGGAAATAAACGAAATTCAACATCACTTTCTTTCCTTCTTTTGGCAGAATGTTAGAAAGGAGCCATTTATGATATAGTTATTTGATACCAACTTTGATTGTCGAATTGCCATCTGTGAAAAGTCCTTGTGGAGAGTGATGGACACACTTGGACTAGTAACCATTACAATCCAGCAAATATATTTGCTCACACACAATTAGTGTGAAAATGTCATGGGACTTAGTGCTGGAGAATAACCAATAACATTCCTCAGTGATATCCCATGATTTTCCAAATTATATGTCTAATGAGATAAAATTCTTAGTTTAGAATGCAATTTAAAGTGAGAGAGCATTCCATAGTGATAGTAAAAGGTTCATATATGTTTGTTCTTAAAGTGTCACCTGACAATGTTGAGAGTGAACATCCCTTGTAGTGAAAAAGGAAAGCTGCTGGTAAACATTTCATTTGAAGCATTGCAAAACTATTTGAAGGATACAGTAGCCTCCATTTGGCATGAAAATATGCCTGTCTCTTAGTCTTTGGACATTCTCTGTCACCTCAAAGCTCAAATTTCTCCTTGAGCTTTACTCGTGGAAACATGCTTTACTTCTTTGAACAGATAAGGGTGGTAAACAAATATCTAATCATAGTTTTGCACCAAATTGACCAGTCTATGAAGAAATGTATGCTGTCAGCCCATGTCATGAGAGTGTTACAAAGCTGTGCTCTTAATTGAATCAGAATTTGCCTGGCTCTCAAAAGCCTCCATACAGGAAAAGAGGAACAAGTTGCCCAAAGACAAACTTTCCTCTAGCATCTGAGCTCTTTTAGAGCATGGCTGAGGGAGAGAGTTAAGACTTGGTTGCAAGCAGCCAAGTGAAAAAGTTAAAAGGTTTTGTTTGAAGCTAAATGTTAATTTCTTCTAGTCTCAGTCTCTTTTGTAAAAGAAGTTTGAAGGATGGATGCCATAGAGTTGGGGCGTCAAGCAATTCTTGCTCATGAGGCTGGAGCACTCGAGCAAGCATTAATGCTATTTACACACAGCATACAACTCACACCTCCAAACAGACCTCACTATGCTGGCAAACTACTGAGAGAAAGAGCAGATTGTTATTGGGAGTTGCAACGTAAAGAAGATGCATGCAATGACATGAAGAGAGCTTTAGAGCTATTCCCAGGAATCAGGGTATGAGCCTTCAACTTATAGAACTTCATCCTATAACTTATCCTGACAAATTTTATAGATTATCACAAAGACAGGTAATGGGAATATTGAAAATATTATTATCAGCAAGATGCAAGTGTAACAAAGACTTCCACTTTAATAAATAGCAGAAAACAGCACACCTAACTATTAATGGTTTGGGGTAAAATTAACTATTTGCTCTGCACAGTGTGTTCTGTAAACTCTGGAAACCATGTGTACAAGCTTTGCTGTTGGTGATAAAGAAGGAAGTTTACCACGTGTAGATGTGCATACAAAAATTTATGTTCGAAAGATTCTTCAACCAGTTTTATTCTCACCAGGATGGTGCAGAGAAATGGGTACACAGAGGTTTTGAAGCCAATAAAGAAGAGAGCTGGTCTGTTGCCACTCAGTGTTATACCTATTCACTATTATTCTGTCCTCGCAACAATATTGCTTTGCTGTCCACTTTGTATGCATCAAGAGCAGAAACAAACTACCGAACAGGGAGATTTGTGGAAGCACGCAGTGACATTGCAAATTGCTGGAAGGTTGATCCTGCTTTGGTTAAGGTTTGTCTTGCCTTTGTCTCCTCAAAGATAGGTCAATATTGTTACATTGATGAATTGATAGCTGTGGATGTCACATTTTGATTTTCTGGAGACAACACAGAGTGTCATTTGGTTTTCAGGCAAAGTCCACATTATTTAAAGATTGAAGCTTTAGTTTCTCTATTTCCATCATATTACAGCCTGATACATTTGAAACAAGAAAGCCAGGTTAAGGTGAAACATTCTTTAAATGTTAAACTCCATTGATTTTGTTGTCTGTATTAGAAAGAAGAGCTAAATGAACAAAAACATGTTCATTTAGCTCATTATTCATGAAACATGTTAGCATGTTAAATGAATTGTCAGATGCACTCAGTCTTGATTTCTTCCTGGCTAAATGATACATTGTTGTGACTATTAACTATGTATTACCTCTCTATTACAGCAGGAAGGCAGGCGCTGCAAGGATAAAGGCATTCGATTATATCAAGCTCACAAGTACAATCAGGCCATTGTTTCTCTTGGACTGGCAAAGGAGTTTTTGCCACGTTCTATGAAGGAATTTCATGCACAACTACAAAGCTATTTGGCATCTTGTTATTTTAGTCTGCAGCAGTATCCAGAAGCATTAGAGGCTGGTAAAGAGGCATACAAGACCAGGCCAGGGAGGGTGCAGGTTGGTGTTTTGTATAGCTAATAGTGGGTGTGCTGATTTGCTATTATTTGTAGATACACAGCACTGCTCATATTTAAGATGAAAGTCTCAATTCTAAACTTAATCCTCAATTCTCAATTCTCAAAAGCTTTGATAATTGAGGATCAACTTTCAAGGCTGGATTTTAGAGTTTGATTTTCAAGAATCTACATGTAGATCTAAGTTTAGAGAATCTAGTTTTAAGACCTTTAAATAATGTTTTGGGAAGAAAGGCATGGATAGCATGGTGTGGAGAAGGCCTGGCTCCCTTTTATATTACTCAAGTTTGGTTTCCAAACCCAGCATCCTCTTTGAAAGTTGAGTATTACAGTATGAGAAAGAAGAGTAATGCTACAACTGCAAAATAGCTATGACAGAGCTTGGCTTACTTTAGAATGTCTTGTCACTTCTTGCCTATTGCAGGGTGAGGCAAAAAGGTGGAAGGAAAGAGGTAAACAACTTTTTAAAGAAAATAGGCTGGATCTGCTTGTTGACTGTTACTCCATAGCAATCAACTATGCTCCCACCAGTGATCGAGAACTGCTGGCACAGCTGCTCTGTAATCGCTCACTGGTCCATATAAGAAATGACATGTATAAGGAGGCAGTGTTGGATGCTGAGCGCTGTGTCAAGATTAGGAACAACTGGTCAAAAGTGAGTACACATTGAGGATGCTTGTAGATCAAGTGTAGGGTTGATTTGCCATTTGTGAAGCTTTATTGTATTCTTATTGTTTTCTGTTGTGTATAGTAAGTTCTTCTACCTTCATCATGAGACATTTTTCATGGGTGACAAGTGACTTGCTTGGAAACAAGGATTGTTGATGGATAGACACATTATTTGGGTTTTGTGGAATAAGCTGCTTGAATTGTAACATTTCCACTACGGATTCTTCTTGTGAAAAGAAAAACAACTCACTTCAATTTTTGAATCTCACCTCGCATAAATGTTGTTTCCTTGTGTACCAGGCTCATTATAGGCTGGGATCAAGCTTGGCCGGTTTAAAGCGTTATAAAGAAGCAATGGATTCCTTTGCTACAGCTCTTGATCTTGCTGAAACTGATGAGGAGAAGTATGACACTCTGTTACAGATCACCACTGTAGCCCCTGAGGTGAAAGGTAGATATTAAGCATTGCATGCTGCAGGTGTACCTATATTCCCATTTCCCTGAGTTTTTAGTAGGCTGCAAAGATCAGAGAGCTCTATGGCTTGTATGCAAATTCTCCATCTCGATTTCTTTGGCCTGTGCTGTTCTTATACTGTATATACATGTATTACATTCTCCTGTTACTAAATACACTTCTTTCCAGCCACTAGATAGAAAATCCTGTTTGTATATGATCACACTGGTTGTTACCATTGTTCCAGACCTATGAGTTGTTCACAGCGGATCCAAATTATCTGCCCATTGTCATAAGATCTGCTGGAAGTAATCAGGACACAGTTTGCAACAACAATGGCAACTATGATCCGAGGGAAACTAAATATTTTATGAAGCAGAGTGTGATTCTCTGGGTTGTCGACTTGAAATTCCTAGTAGAGTGCCCAAAGTAGCTGTACCTCAATGAAAATTTCTACTCCACACCCAGATTTAGCTTTTGTTTACTCAGGTATATGTCTCATTTCTGCACTTCAGATGGAACCATGGGTGTAAATGAAGCATTTTGCTCTCAAATCATTATCCAGAGAGCTGTAGATGATGCAGTATCAAAGCAGAACTGGGAGAGGCTTCGTGTGTTGTTTGTTGGTGGAGGAGGCCCTTATGATGCTCCTGTTGGAAAAGGAGGGCTAGCAAGTGGATGTGATTCCTCTCAAGTGCCTTTAGATCTGGTCATAGCATCAAGTGTGGCCTACAAATCAAACCTATTGACAGTTCTATTGGAGTTTGGGGCTTGTGTGGATGGACTGCCATTGTGTAAAAAGCCTCCCTTATTGATAGCCTTGGAAATAGAGGAATTTGACATTGCATCTAAGCTGATAAGTGAGGGTGCTCACTTGGCCTGTGTTTCAAATCAGCCTCAACTCCAATCAAAGGTTTTTGATGTTGAATTAATTCTTTTTTTTTTTTTTTTTGATTTATACACTCTGTATCAATTGAGAGAAAGCGTCTACTGCTCCTAATGATACTGTGATTTCTTTCTTTCTTCTTTTTTTGTGGAGGGGGGATGGGATTGAAGAATTACTCCCTTTCTCCTTTCATTACACTTGTGGTCTTTTTGTCATTTTAATAAACAAACTTTCAGCTGAGGCTAGCTTCCTATTAAATACTTTGGTTACACTTTATAAAGAATACTAATACACTGGCAGTGGTGAGTGTGTTGTCATAAAGTAGAACCTGCCGTGTCATTCTTTGATATCATTTTAGAAGGTTTGTTATTTGGTCTATTACAGGCACAAGCAAAGTTCTGGAAAGGAGAAGCTAACAAGGTAGTCAAATGCGGGGAAACAGAGAAAGTCTCGCAATACTACAAATTAGCATTAGAGTATACTCCAAAGCAAGCCATAGAACTTAAGAGGGAATGTTTGGATGCATTAGCTGACATCTGTTTTGAGGGCAACAAGTTTACAGAGTGCATTGAATATGGAGAAAAAGGATATGAAGTTAAACCTATGAAGAACAAGGTAATACATATAGATTTGTATTTCTTTGCTAGTTTTGTGACGGCTAGAGCTCCAACTCCATAAAGCAGCTGATAAACAGTGGAACCTGACGAAGTAAGAAGTACCGTAAACATCCATGTATAAGCCGCAATTTTTTTCTAAAAATTGAAGCCAAAAATCATGGGTGTGGCTTATCCATGGATACATCTGTGTTTGGAGTTCTCAGAAACCTAATTAATATTCATAAAACTTCTTAAGATGCCAAGAAATAAACATAGAAGAAACTGAGAGCGTGTTGCTGTAGTTCATTGACTTTTTCATTGAGTGGTGGCTCCTAAAGGAGTCGTTTGTGTCTTCGAGTGTTTATCGGCGAATCTTGCTCTCCGCGAGTTCTTTCAAGCGATTAATTTTCGCTTTACTCGAACAACTAAACACCAACATACAAGGAATCTCCATTCCTCCTTACAGCTGTTTTCAGTGTCGTCTGCGGCCAGTCACTTCTACGCATATCTTTCCGCCACGTGCGATAAAGTACCACAAAATTCGCGAGTACTCGCGAGGTAAATGGCAGGATGTTTCGTTGTTTTTTACTACCTTCATGGCAGATTTGTCCACTGCATTATCAGGGTCCTGTTCTGCATGAAGTTTTTCGCCTATTGCGGGTTTCCAAACATCTTATACCCAGGCGATGGCCAGGCCGTGGCCCAGACTCCTTCCAACATTTAAAGCTTGGCTACTAAGCACTTGTTTGTTTGCTTTTTTTGTTTTTGTTTTTGTTTTTGCTTTTTTTTTTTTTTTCAATGCCAAAGGAATTTCAACTTTGTGGTGTGTTTCGAAGTGATAATCTCGAAAAATCGGATCGAAAGAGCATTTTAAGTTAAGGATGGTGTAAATTCCAATTAAAAAGAAGGTACAACAAATGAAATTTTGCTTTCTTTAGACTTGATAAATGTGAAAGATAGCCAAAACTTCTATGTTGGTGTTTCGAAACCTTGATTGTTTGTAGCATTACAACTCTAATGAAACTTCAAATTGTATTGTTTTAATTTTTTTCCAAATCTGGGGTGCGGCTTATCTACGGATGCGGCTTATACATGGACGTTTACGGTTGTCCTGCTTAAGCTCCAGCAGTTGCATGCTAGAAGACTGAGGAGTTTTAATGTTAATTTACTTTAAGGAATCTGTTCAGAAGTGGAGAGAACGAGGAAACAAATTGTTCAAAGAGAGAAAGTATGAGCTGGTGGTCCAATATTACTCATTAGCAATGGAGTATATACCAGAGACCATGGAGAATATGCAAAAGATGAGTGCAGTCTTGTTGAGTAATCGATGTGCTGCTTACTTGAACCTGCAGTGTTATGACAAGGCGAAGGAAGATGCTGAAAGATGTGTACAGATTGACCCTCAGTGGTCTAAGGTAACAAAAGCCTAAGCATTGTGTGATGTGTACGACTGTATATGAGTAAAGTTTGGAGTTGAGGATTTGAGTTAATGTGGTTTTTATGTCCTGGTAGTTATCCCAGTGTGTCCTGCTACCAAAATTCTGCCGTGTAAAGAAAACTCTTCTCCTGAGTGTGTTTTGTTTGTAGGGGTACTACCGTCTTGGTTCTTGCTTGAACTACCTCGGTCAGAACCTGGAAGCCCTCAGAAGTTTTTGTGATGGACTTAAAAAAGCAGAGACAGATGATGACAAGTTTTCCCTAGCGTCACATATAATTTCTAATGCCGTAAATGTCAAAGGTATTGAATACATTAACATTTAGAACGATGATTGTCAAGGTGGCTCTATAGGTGCATGTGCACTGTTTGGTAATGAATCCGTTCATATCATATTCTTATCTTATTAGCCCACTTGAGTTGATTTTCCAGCAATATTCTCTTTGCCTAGGTGCATCCTACCTCCCGAGTTATCTGGAATAAGTGGGATTAAGAAAGCCAAGTATTCTAAAATTTGTTGTTCTTGTTTGCAGATGGAACACTTGCGATAACCTGCCGCATTCCCAGAGCTACTGCACAGAGGCTAATCAAAGACGTCTGCGCCAAGAAGGAATGGAACAAGCTGCAATTGCTATTCCTTGGAGGTGATAGTCAACGGTCATTTGCGAAAGGTCGTGGAGGTGTTGCAACTGGATGTAATGCCGGAATTGTTCCCATTAGTCAAGTGCTTGAGTCATCTGTTCACGACCGTGACAAACTAATTGCTGTGTTACTTGATCATGGCGCTCTTGCTAACGGTTTGCACGGTTCAAAACACCCACCCTTATCTGTTGCTTTGGAAATGGAACATTACGGTATTGCGTATACCCTATTGAAGCATGGAGCTGATCCATCCGGGATTTGTTGTTCAAGAGTAACAGGGTCTCATCACCGTGAGGTGACTATGGTTTTGTATGATAACGTAGCATTTTTTGTTCCACTGTTTAATTATTTTAGTTGACATCATTGAAATATACGTTGGACCTTCGAGAGCTAAGGTATGAACGCTCAAGGACAGATAGAATCTAGAAATAAACACGGGTCATGAAAGCACAGAAAAGCTAAATGAATTCCACAAGATGATTTTCTTGGCCCTTAAAGTCGTGTATTTAAATTTTGAGCTATAAAATATCATGGATGATGACAGCATCTTTGTAAAGATTTTTTTAATTTTTGCAGAACCAAGGTCATTTCTGGAAAGACGAAGGCGTGAAGGCTTTGAGTGCAAAGGACTACATTCAAGCTATCAAATTGTTGAATTTAGCTCTTCAGTTTCCTAACAATTCAGCAGATTTGAGTTACATTGTGAACAACTCACTGGCGACAGCATATTTTGAAACAAAACAATATGTGAAGGCAGTGGAGAAAGGCCGGGAATGCTTTAAGGTTAAACCAACCAAATCGCAGGTATAGTGCCCTTCTGAAAATTTTCTTGAAACCAGCAGTATTCTTTGGGTGAGCCTGTCCCAAACTCTCGGTCAGCGGAGAACATCGAAACGACGAACGTTGCCTGGCGCTTGTGAAGGAAAATAACATTTCCGGCATTTATCGCCAGCCCGTGTATCCGCGTGCCTCTGCTGACCGAGAGTGTGGATTGATTTTGATCACGCGTTTGATTGTCACCGTCTCTCTCAACTAGACGGAAGCAAGCAAATGGAAAGAGCGTGGCAAGAGACTGTTTTCTGAAAAGGAATTCTCCATTTTGGTTGAGTATTACACCCTGTCCATGCAATATGTTCCAAGCAACGACAAGGAATTTCTGGCCACTCTACTTTGCAATCGTGCTCTGGCTCATTACAACATCTGCAATTACCAACAAGGTCTTACAGACGCTAAGAGCTGTACAAGATTCAGGCCAGAGTGGTACAAGGTGCGTTAAATTTTTGTCATTTCTTTAGTTTTGCTGTAGAGCTAAATAAGTGCCTACGCAGGAGACAAACCTGTTTCTATTTTGGATATCGTAGGGTTTCGTGCGACAGGGATTTTGTCATGCTTGCTTGGATCAGAACAGAGATGCGGTGAGAGCCTTGGGTGAAGGATTAAAAAGGGCAGAGAATGATGGAGACAAGTTTGTAATACTTTCTCAAATCGTGGATTTGGGCCTTAATTTGTCAGGTAACTAGCCGCTTTCTGGTTTTCTTCTGGGATCTTATTTGAATATACCAGCAATCTAAAGTTAAAGACTTGCATTATGATACCGACAGACAATTATCTGTTTCTCAGCGGATTGTTGTTTGCTCTACCTTTGTTTTGATTTGTTCTTTTTGCTTCCCTTGTAGATGGAACTTCCAGTATAACGTGTAGTGTACCAAACCCCACTCTGGAAAAGCTGATCAAGCAGCTGTCCGAAAAAAAGGCTTGGGACAAGTTACATGTCCTTTACCTCGGGGGCGGAGGACCCCAGCGCTATTCACCAGGGGAGGGTGGCCTAGCGACTGGTATTGATGCATCCGAGATACCTATCGAGCTTGTGTTTGGGGCTGCTGAAAAGTACCGGGCTCCTCTCATCGTGGCTCTTTTGGAAAATGGTGCCTCCTCTAACGGACTGGGTAAAGCAATCAAGTGTCCTCTGGAACTAGCCATAGACAATGAAGAATACAACATGGTGGTTACACTGCTACAGTATAACGCTGACCCGGCTTGTATTATGAGTAAGGCAGGCGATTCACTTCTGCACCAAGCTTTGAGGCAAGCATTTGCAACCGGTAAGTCATGAGACTGTTTCGTTTAACACATTTCAGTTCATTCTTGTTTTCCGAGTTTATTCAGAGTTTTTGCTTTGTACAGTATAGCGAGTCCTCGTATTCTTTTTATTCAGAATTTTTCAGGGTTCAACGTGATTTATTTCGTTTCTACTTATCCTGATATTCGGCAAGACTAAATGACGTCGTTTTTTAAAGGAATGTAATGTGTGAAATTGTGTTCTTTCATTTGTTGTGAATGCGTCTCAAAGAAAACATGAAAATTTGGCGAAACCCCGCCTTTGACCTTGTAAATTACCTTATGGCCTGATTGAATTCTGTTTGGTAGTTTTTCTAAATCTCGGTCTTACAGGGAGCACTGGACTAATTCAAGCCCTTCTTGACTCTGAGCTGTTTGACCCTGACACGGTGGATAGCAGTGGCAACACGCTCTCTCACTTAGTGGCTTTTGGAAATTGCTCCAGGAGAAAGTGTGCGATGATCAGTGTCCTAACAGACGCGGGAGCCAATCCAATGGTAAAAAACACGGAAGGCAAGGTCCCACTGGATTATCTAACCAAGAAAGACCCACGGGCAAAGTTGATCAGGCAAGCCATTAACTCGTATAAGAGTGGCAAGAAGTCGGGTGGTGGTAAGAGGAAGAGGAAAGTGATAAAACTACCAGGAAAGACAGTGCCTGGACACGAAACAACAGCAGAAACAGCAGCAGGAGAGGGAGGAGTCCAGGAAGAGGCAGGGGATGAGTGGTGTAATGCTGCGGATAAGGATGTCCCAGAAAGCAACCATCGAGTTGTAAAAGTGAAAGCTGAAGATAAAAAGCCTATGCCAGTAGCCGTGCTGGTGAAGAAAGATCCTCTGGATGACCTACGTACGAGCATCAAGAGCATGATCGAATGCATCAGTGTTGTTAACAACTCAGAGATGGAAACTACCGAAGATGACCTCAGGCTTCAGCAGCACGACAAAGAAGAACAGTGTGACTCGCATCATGTCCCCGACATCGAAAGAATCATAAATGACGACGACGACGACGATGAAGAGGTAACCGAAGGAGAATTCGAGGTAGACCTAGAGTCCCCCTTTGAAGATTTGCCCTGGGAAGTGGACTGTACAGATCAATTCTGGAAGGCTCTACAGAACACTAACGTCAGCGATTCCTTGAAGCGACGCATTATCGGTAGGATTCGGATGCTGGCTGAGGGACGATGGACAAAAACGCTTTGCAGGAGGTTGGATGGCATTCCAAAGAAACGCAATATCATGCTGTTTGAGGCAAAATTAACACGAGCTTCTCGGATTATTTGGGAACTGACAGTTGCGTTTTCAGCCAAATGCAGTAATGATCCCGAGTTGAGAATGCAAATGGAAACATCTGCTGGGAGAATTTACTCTGAAATCATTCGTGTTTGGGACATTGCAGCGGACCGAGATGGCCTTATGGCGAAAGTTGAGAGCATCGTGAAGTCTCATGATAGAGGATTGAGTTGTATTGTCAAGAAAAAGTTGTCTGGATTCAGGAAAGGGAGTGACAAAGTAAAGAATGTCAGTGGTGAACGCCTGCCAAATTTCTTTGTTGAGCTGTCTGAAAAGGTAGAGGATTTCTCGCAAGCGAAGACAACAAAAATTGAGAAGTCCTCTGATAAATATAAAGGTTCTCAGTTCTTCTTCCCACCAGCAAGTCCAAACGATATGGAGTTCCACATTCTTAAATTCTACTCCTTTTCCTCGCTCTTAATTAACTCTGTTCTTCACAGTAACCCTGCAGCCAAAGTGGACTTTCCCTTCAGAGTTACCGAGCTTGAGCACGCTATTATCAACTTGCGTCCTAGTCAACCGTGTCCTATCATTCTTCTTGGTCGAAGTGGGACCGGTAAGACAACCTGCTGTTTATACAGGTTGTGGAATGAGTTTCAGTTTTATTGGGAGAAGGCGGCTACTGCTGGACCTCATATCCCTAAGGTAACGCAGTATTTGCCCAAAGCTGATTCGTGTAGAAGTATCACAGCTTGTGAGCTTCCAGAAGAATTACCCCTTCAGTCGTCAAGTTTCAGAGTACTAGAAGACATTGACGAGCATTCACCATCAGACGAGTTTATCAGAGCTAAGGATGCACGGCGCAAAGACTACGAAGAAGGCGACGATACGGTCGAACCTTCCGAGTTTGAGGAAGTGACAGACGCCCAATATGAACATCTTCATCAGGTCTTCATCACAAAAAACCCAGTGCTTTGCAACGAGGTTCAGAAGAATTTTTCTGAGCTCAGGCATGCCTTTCATGCGGTAAGGGAACACGCAGAGAAGGAAGCCACAGCTCTGAGTTTCAGAATTCAAGATATTGATGATGCAGCTTGGCCTCTATTTATAAATTCTCGTGACTGGTTGCTTTTGTTAGATGCATCTCTTCCGGGCTGCGAGTTCTTTCCTCGTGACGAGGATGGTAGTCTGTTGAGAAAGATTTACGGATGGGGAGAAGAAGAATGTCACTTGGTGGCTATTGAGGACGATTCCGACAGTGAAGTCGAGGAGCAAGACGACACACATGCCAATGACATTGATGATGTTGTGTGTAATCGATCGGACCCCAAGAGTTTTGACCCCAGACGCGAGGTCACCTATGTTGTGTTTGTATCGGAGCTGTGGCCAAGAATGATGAAGAAAGTAAAGGCTCAGTACCATCCAACTCTAGTCTGGACTGAAATCCGATCGTTCATCAAAGGATCCGTCGAGGCCTTGCATACTGAACACGGTTTCTTGACTTTGGAAGAATATTCAGATCTTGGAAGGAAGCGAGCTCCAAACTTCTCTGCCGATCGTGACGTTGTTTACTCTCTTTTCGTTGTGTACCAGAACACTAAACGATCATTGCGAATGTTCGACGAAGCTGACGTCGTTCACAACATTTATACTCGTCTGCAGAAAGTTCAAGTTCCTGATTGGTCTGTTCATCGATTTTACGTTGACGAAACTCAAGATTTCACTCAAGCTGAACTGTGTTTGCTGATCCGTTGTAGCCGCGATCCAAACGGTCTTTTTTTCACCGGTGACACGGCTCAAAGTATTATGAGAGGAATTGCGTTTCGCTTCAACGATTTGAAATCATTGTTCTTTTACTCGCAGCAATCTTACCAAGCCCTTGGTTTCCAGTCGGGAGTTAGGGTCCCAAATAGACTTTATCAGTTAACACACAACTATCGCTCGCATGCAGGAATTTTGCGGCTTGCCTCCAGTGTTGTGGACCTGATACTTCATTACTTTCCAGAGTCTTTTGATCGCCTTGAGAAAGATCAAGGATTATTTGAAGGACCTAAACCCGTGCTGTTAGAGTCATGTAGTTTCGGTGATTTAGCAATGATTCTTCGAGGAAACCGTCGGCAATCTTCGAGAATTGAGTTCGGTGCGCATCAAGTCATACTTGTGGCCTCGGAAGAAGCTCGGAATCAGATGCCCGATGAGTTGAAACAAGCACTAATCCTAACAATTTACGAGTCGAAAGGCTTGGAGTTTGATGATGTCCTTATTTACAACTTCTTCAAAGACTCCCAGGTGAGGTTCAGATCGGTGGTTTGCCATTTATGGCGGATTATGTATGTCCTATTAACTTTTGTGTATTTAGGTGTTCCGTGCGCACATCGTCGTGGAGGCTCTACTACCCATACACGCGACAGGTTGTAGACCTCCAGAATTTCTTGAAAAACAATTGATTATACTTTGCCTAAGGGGTAACATTTCTTACCAGTTAATAAAATACTTTTCCCCTCTCCATCCAGATGGCAAATATCACATGCTTACGAAATTTTCATATGAAGCAAGCGTGAAAACCGTTTCGTTCCCATCTCTGTTACGTATATCTATGTCAGTAGAGCTTGTGCTCTATACAGTTTACAGTGATACTTCGCTATCCCCAGCATGTACTGAATCTTGCTAGCAAGACAGGACTCATGTTTTTTCCCTAGACAGAATTGTGCTTGTTTTGTTTGCACGTACAGGCTAAAAAAGAGTGGCGAGTCGTGACCTCTTACATAAAAGAGCTGTCGGAAGGAAGGATCCCAGACACTTCGGGACTGATAGAACTTGCTGAAGAGGACTTAGAAATAACATCGCGTCCCCTTGACTTTGATTCAGACAGACACAAGGTACTCAACTCTGAGTTCAAATTCTTGTACACAGCCATTACCCGGGCCAGGGTCAATGTGTGGTTCTTTGATGAAGAAGAAGAAGCCCGGGCTCCAGTCTTTGAGTATTTCCAAAAGCGTGGCCTTGTTCGCGTGATACGAATGTCAGGTGAAGCTAATGAAACAGATCAGCTGACCAGTATGTTCGTTGAGAAGTCGACGGAAGCCGAGTGGTGCCAGCAAGGGCATTATTTCTATAACAAGGAGCTCTGGGAGGTGGCTGTGAAATGCTTCACAATGGCGAGCGATCAAGTCATGGTAAAGAAGAGTCAAGCCCAGCTGCAGGCCGCTGAAGCAAGCAAAATTAAAGGTAACCCTAAGCTGATGAGAGCACAGTTCCTGAAGGCTGCTAATCAGTTTTTACAGTGCGCTATGTTGGATGAAGGCGCCAAGTGTTTGCATAATGCCTGCGAGAGACTGCTGTTGGCCAGACTAAATAAGAAATTAGGAAAGGTAAGAGCGGAATAGTTCCCAAGACTGTATCCATAAGCATCATGAATAAGCCCATTTATTCTTTGCTTATTTGCGAGATTTTGATGGAGTTCTGAAGTGTGCGAGTTCGTAGAGACGTTAAATGTGATTGATCGTAGCGACGCAAAGTTTCTTTGATGCATGTACTTTTTTCAAGCTATCATCTCAAAATTGCCATCTGACAGAAACTTTTATCACTATGGTTGACGAAATCTCTATGCTATTAAAAAGTGAAATAGGAGTTCGAAGTACTCACTGCGATTTGCAAAGCACACTTATCGGGTCGTATCTGTAAGGGCCTGTAAAATAAGCGGAAGCCAGCGACACTGTTCCTATTGCCCATAAAATCGTTTCTCTATCCCATTGTCTGAAACAGTTTGAGGACGCAGCAAAACTGCTCAGGAAGGAACGCCATTACTTGGAAGCCAGTGAGTGTTACGAGATGATTAATGATTACCACCAGGCGGTGGAGATACTGTGTCAAGGAAATCTATACAAAGAGGCTATCGACACCTTACAGCGGTACAAGAGCCTGGTGGGAACTGATGCTAGCAAAGGAGGAATCCGCTCTCCTAGAGAGTCGCGGACGGTGGAACGACTTTGCCATCAGCTGGCAGAAGAACATTTCAGGTAGGTCTTAAAACGTTGACTGATTGGCGAAGCGAATTCGGCTTGGCTGAAGTGTAACATTTTCGAAGATTAGTCTGCCTTTTCAATTGAAGTGTGCTACGTTGCCATACGATTGTGAATTTAAAAAAATCGATTGGCAGAAAACAATCCATCAGTAGCATTTTTGTTTATGTTTTCGTTTTGTTCAGAGACAAGAACTTATGAGAGGTTTCTTTACAAATGCGTTCGATGTTGCTCTCATTTCCTATGCCTCTTCCTTATTTTCACCATCTCATTTTGTTGCCTTTTTCCTATTTGTTTGTATGGTGCAACAAGTCACTTCAAATAGTTCGTTTATTTTAGAGGGTAAACTTCGACTCCCATACTTCTTATTGTCTGTTTATATTTTAGCTCTGGTCGTCTTGATGAAATGGTCTCCGTCCTAGAGGGATTACCCTCTGCAAACGATCGAATCCTTTTTCTGGAGAATCACGGGTGTGTTCAAGAAGCCATGGAGGCACTGGTCGATGAAGGTAGATACGCAGATGCTGGCAACCTCTTAAGCAAGAATGGCAGATTTATTGAAGCGGTAAAGTTTGTACACACAAGAAGCTTTGCAGCCGAGTGCTTTTTGTCTGCAGCACGATGTGCGCAGAATCATGCCTCTGTAAATGAACGTCGTGATTTAGTTGAGGGGTCTACTGAGAAAGCTTTGGAACTATTTAAAGATTGCAATGATGAGAACGGTCAAGCGCAATGTTTGCTGATTCTTGCGAGGTTGAATAAAGATGTAGAAGATGCCGAAAGTGCTCGGAAGCTATTTAACAAAGTAAACAATATTTGTGGCGAAGTAGAGGCATGTCTCGAGCTTTTCACCATTTTAAATGAAGACGTTTCTCATGTTGATCTTCCTGGTGTCTTTGTCACAAGCCTGAACAGACTGTTTGGCCTTATTATGGCGCTCAACAAGCCTCAAAGAAGTGTCGTGGAGCTTCAGAAAGTGGAAATGTGCGAGACGTATTTTGGTGTTTTCAAGGGAGACAAATCAGACTTGAGATACGCTTTTGTCAATAGCGGCGCGCTGTTCGTAACGTCTGTCCCTTACAGCCAAGATGAAGTCAAGGTCGACAAAGTGGTACTCGATGAGGGAACCGCACGATGGCGGATCGCATGTTACATGTGTGGCTTGGCTTTTGAACTAGTCCAGAACATTAGTCAAACAGTAGAATTCAGTGTACGATTACAGGGCATCTGTCGAAAGTCCCTCGTGGGCTTGACTTGCAATCCTGAACATTGTCAGCTTCATCACGCTGAGTTCTCACAGGCACATTTTGAAAAGCTGTTTAGTGCTTTGTGCACTCAAATTCATGTTAACGCCCTTGTACAGTTATTCGCAGATACCATAGGCCGCTTTGACCCTCAGAGGAAGCTTTCTCAAAAGCTGCTCACCCGTGAAGTACAGGACTTTCAAGCGTGTCGGCAACTTTACGATCTGCTCTTTCCAAAGATGGGCTTGCATATTTCTTTCCTGGGCAAAGAACACGTTCGCTTTCTTCGCAGGAATAGTGCTATCAGAGAGCGCTTGTCAAGGTGCGCGGAGTTTTTATGGAAGATAACCAAGGAAAGCCAAAGGTGGGTGAACCCCAACAAGTTTATTAAGATCTCACGGATCCTTAACCTGGTTGGACAACCTGGCAAGATTGGGGCTTTGCTTTCCGTGGAGGAAAAAGGCTTTGCAATGAGGAACATGCCTTGCGATGGAATGCTCAAAGACAAATACCATGGAGGTTTCCGCAGCTTCTTCCGTTTGTTTCACGAAGGTAACTCTATCCTCCATGTGTACGGCGATGTCTTGAATGCTGCACACTCCTTTATTAGGAGATTCTTCAGCATGATCGCATGGAGGTCTTCCATTCCATTTCCTTCAGCTGCTAACACGAGTGCAGTCTTTGAGCACCAATTAGTCTCCTGTCTGGCATTGTTTGCATGTCTGTTTAAAGACTACGAGAATCCAGTGTGTCTCCCCGAGAGCTACCTCCATCTGATTGGGTTCTGGGACGCAGTACACGGTTCAGACAAGTTCCCTTCCTTGTTTAGTATCGTTGAAGCTACAGCCGCAAGAATTCCTTCTTTCAAAGGAATCCGAGGAATCCAGCGTTTACTGGAGTACACAGTCCAGCTGATGTCGGGACAAGTCCACTGTCGGTTCAACTTAATAACCAGTGCTTTCAGTGTCAGTTCATTTAAGCGCGTGCTGTCAGGTGAATCAGAGAGAATTATGATACTGGCTATGACCATGTTGTGTAACTACGGTAGTGGGATCCCAGCAGCACCATGCGGCCGTCTCATCGAATCCTTGCGCAGTGTCACCGTTCACCCATTTTTGCCTGTTCGAATGCAGAGGGCATTGGAAGCCGTACAAAATGCCAACGGTGTTCAAGACATTGTTACTGCAACGCAAACCTTACTATCGCAAAGGAACGAAGCTTTATTTTCAGTTCGTTGGTGTAACGGAGGGTTCCTCACTGCCGAGGTGAATGTTGCTTTCTTCAAAAATTCGTTCAGTGCTGATTCGGCTCCTTGGCATTCGCAGACCTCTAACTCGAGTGAGCCACCTGTAGATGTCTACTCTCCATCGGAGTTTCAGATGCCAACAGGATACCTGGAGGAACAGAGGAAGGAGCGCGCTTTAGAAACCGAGCGTGAGGAGGCAGCCATAAAAATCCAGCGATGGTTCCGCCGAATCAAATGGGAAACCCCGGAAACTACACCTTGTGATAAAGTTGAAGAGCAGCCAGCGGACTCTGTTCTACTCCACTTTGAGCGTTTTAAGGTGGACACCTCAGCTTGTAGTATATGCAGAGTGCACTTCAGCGACAAGCCCGATGGTGTAAAGTACGAGTCGCACATTGTTACAGAGAGTCAGCACTGGCGTCAGCTGCGTTTATTCAATCAATACAAACAGCTGTTTCTCGGAAGAATCTGGCCTCTGTTTGAGGCTGAGAAGGAACTTCGTGAACAGTTGAATGCACTATCTGGGCAGAATAGGGTTGGTTCGCACGATTTTGGTCTCGATGTCCAGCGGCTTGACCATGCTGGCGCACGCGTTGGAGAGTGTGTGCGAGAAATCGAGTCCCATTGTATGTGGGGTAATACGGATCGCTTGATGCATGAAGTCGAGGCTTTGGGTGCAACTGTTAACGAAGTTCAGGAAATTGTAAGGCAAGGTGAGAATATGTTAATCTTCACAACTCACTCTTATGAATTCGTTAGATGTACTAATCCCTGTCAATATCCAGACAGAATCGTGGATGTTTCCGAGGTTTCTTCAGCTTTCGAGGCTTTCTTTTTTGTTTGTTACTCAAGTCGAAAAGCGAAAACTTTTTTTTTTGACACTTTCACTGGAAAATCAGGTCCAAGTTACGGAACCGTATTTTTTTTTCTTTGTTCCACGCTTAAGTTGAATATCTTACCCGTTTGTTACAGGAAGTTCTGTTCTACTCACGAACCGTATGTCATTGAATATTTCCTTGTGTGATTGTAGACCAACAGAAACTGCGGGGTGGGGATGCAACGGTTGAAAGAAGGGATTACCCTGAAGAAAATGACGATTTTGCTGATGAAGAAGACATCTTGGATTTGTGTGGGCCTAAAGACGGTGCAGCCAAAGGGGGAGGAGGAGGAAAGCGAGGTGGCAAGAAAAGGAACCGGGGAAAACGCGGGCGTGATAAAACACGCTTTAGACAGTCGTGAACATTTAGTTCTGTGAGGAGTGCTTGGTAATGAGAGTTAAGACCATTTCTTAAATGCAGCTTTGGCAGAAGCTTTTTTGTTGTGTTAGCAAATGGTCTATGGTAAAAAAAAAGAAAATGAAAAAAGAAAAAAGTATCCAAGTGGTCTTTATCTCAGTCCAGTTGAAAGAACTGTTATCGTTTACCTCCCCCCCCTCCCCATATTACTTCATTGCAAATACATATTTCAATATTCAAGAGCAGTTGCTCAAAACTTAATGAAGAAATATTGACAGAAATGCTGCATTATCTTCTAACTTTGAGCATCCGTTAGGACTCTGTTGATTGTTTTGTTTCAATGTTTAGTCAATGCAGAATGGAAAAAATAACGTTACTTGTCTTTGGCTATTGAGTCACCATTTATACATGGCTTCTACTTGAATACTTGAATAAGTGTTAGGTGCTTGAGGGGTAGTTTTCACAGGCAGACTTGAGTAAGTGCTTATGTTTCCTGTATGACTTCAAATTTATTTAAGGTGTTAACCGATAATGGAAAATAAAGTTAACTTTTATTGAATACCACTTTGAAATTTTCTTTATTTTACCAAGACTGCTTCTATTTGAAATGAAAAACTGCTTAATGAAAAATGAAAACCCGAACAATTTATTTTGGTTATGATTAGAAGAAATTTTGTGAGGTGTTGAAGGATGGGGGAACAGAGTCCCTCTAACAACAAAAAATTCAGTACATTTGTTTGTTAAAGTTTGCACAAATTTCAAAAGTTTGTGCCCACCAATAGTTATTTTACAATTTCCAACAATCTGTGACAACATCTTACAGCAGTTAAGCATAATTGTTCAAGTGTTCATCATGCAACTAAAATAGACCAAGGTGGGTTCAAACATTTATATTTTTAAGATGTCCATGGCAAAAATTTTTCTGAGGGTCAATTCTACCCTTTCATTTTCCCCTTCAAATATTTCCTAAACGCTGAGTCGAGTCATAGGCAATCCAGAAACTGGATTTCAATTAAGGTCCAGATATCTTTTAAACCCTTCCTACAGTTACTGTTTGTAAACTAGAATGTAGAAGCAAAACTGAACAAAACCATCAAGAAATGGTTTGATATTCTGGTCTTCACGGATAGGGACGAATAAATGGAGGTCCCGTCTCCTGCAGGGTTAGGGGCAAGAGACGTTAATTTCCCACACACGAGATTACTGTGTGATGGATGTCCTCCCCTGGGGTGGGATGGGTGGTTAACAGGACCCCCGTTGATACCAGTGTTTACTACACTGAAGGGGCTATCCTGTATAAATATAGATGTCTGCCTGTCTGACCATTAAGAATGAAGAAGTCTGTCCTGAATTCGAATCAGGTTCACAGTGGCTTGGTCAGTCTTGTGCTGTTGGTCTCTTTTTCCTTGCCTGAAAGGTCCTAAAGGAATACATCAAGGAGAATTCCTTCTGGTCACCTTTGTGTAAGGAAATCATATTCCCGTACAAGTCGAACAGTTACAGTGAGTAGGTCTTTACTTTTGTCCCACTGTGCTTTGCCATTTTTACTGTCCACTGGGTGTGGCAAGTGTACTCCGAGTTTACTGAAATTGAAGTACAAACACATTTTTTATCATATCTGAGAAAAAGTACTCTGAATTAATGAAAACACAAACTGTCAAAAGTTCAGATGTAAGGATGAGGGAAAGAGAAGTAGAATGAAGGACTGTGGTAGAGTGGGGAGGAGGGTTTCCTAGCTCTGAGATAAAGTGAGAGTATTTTTATCAGTTGACTTACTATTTTGTTGTTCTACAGTCCAGAAAAGTATCTGTTACATCTAAATTTACATCAGAATACTCTGTGTCTGGAAGCTTGATTTTTATCTAAAAAGTGAGAAAATAATTGCAGTTAGCATCTGTACTAAGTAAGAAAAACAGGTCTTACCCAGATTTTTAAATTGTAAGAAACCCTATGCTAAAAAAATAAGGTGGGGAGGGAGGCAGAAGGTAAGCCTTGACCAACTCTAAATTCTTGATTTTAAGATTATCTGTGACTGCTTCAATTGCATGTACAGGTCTAACGATTTTAATTCTTAGGTTACCTATGACTGCTTCAACTTCACATACACGTCTATTTAACGATTTCTTGTAAACAAGATAATTTGAGATTAAATTTCTTTAAAGGGAACAGGAACCCTAAAATTTGCCTGGCAGCCAACACCAGGCTCGGTAGCTCAGTCAGTTGTAACTTTGGACCAGTGTTTGAGTTGTGCTTGAGAGGCCTGGATTCCAACTCCACTTAGGCCTGAGTCTTTCTAGCTCCTCTTTCTGTGATTGATGTACTCGCAGTTAAAAATGTGAACGTCAATTTATAATCCATCTTTGTACACAGACAATGTAGAACCCCCAAAACTAAGACTTTTTTCACTCAACATTCCCAATATATGCTGCAATTGGTATCCTCTACCATTCATATTGCTAGTACTGGCTAGGAGTGAAAAACATTCAGAGCTTTGTGACAAAAGATTTCTGTTATCAAGGTAACAGTGTTAAACTGTTTCTCACCACTAAATCTTCACAGCTGGAGGAAGATGGATTTCTACCACTCATTTGAAGATACATGTCCTCTGAAGTTACAGCTTGCTTAAAAATCATTTCATATCTAAATTAAATTTAAAAATAAGGCATTTCAAAGCAATGTTACTGCCAATAAATGAACAGAAACCTAAACAAATACAGTTTAAATTTAGTAATGAATCTGATACCCTATATAATTTTTTATCAATATAATTATATTATACATGAACCAAAACTCCTTGTTTCGCCAAATATCTCCAGCAGCGGTACTTTTGCTGGTGCATAATCTCCCAGCAATTCATCAACTTTGCCTTGCAGTTCACTGGTGCTGATTTTGCTCTTCAGAGCAGAAAGCTGCTGTAAATGCACAATAACCCAGCCAGGGCTTAAAACTGGACGTTTGAGCTTGGGTCCATGGCATTCAGTAGCTATCTGCTTCCACCCTTTCACTCCCAAGATCTCATTCATAATTCTCCTTACTGTCTCCTTATGATATTAGACAGATTGCAATTCTGTTAGACAGATTGCAATTTTATGATGTCTCCTTATTGACGAAGGGCTAATGCTCAAAACGTCAGCTTTTGTAATCATTACGGTGGCCAATTTACCATTTCTACTTTGTTGATATATCCAAATTATTTCGTTACTACCACCGACGCAGCCCCAAACAGTTTCTTTCGAAACTGTCAGCCTTTATTCTTATGATGTTAGTTTGGACAATTTAGTATTTGATCCACCAATAATCCCCTTATTGATATTTTTCTTTATTCTCATCACTTGTCTGCTTGATATTGTATTGATACAGTAAAGAGAAATTCTGTCTTGGTCACTCATAGTAGTGAAAGGGTTAAAGAATTGCAATCTGTCCAAATATCCTATATTTACGTTTTGGAATTATAAACAATCATGCATGATTATCAGTCCGTGTGTGCAAGTTGGTTACCGCTGAAACCATCTAACCAACACTATTAGTCAACTTGCCAATATCCTTGACAACTAGGTCAACTTTGTGAAAAATCTCAGTAAGTCCAAACTTTCACTTTGTTTTTGGCAAGTTAATGATGTTTGTGTACAGGTTAACCATGGCTGTTCGCAGATGGTATTACCAATTATCTTGCAATGGCAAAGTGGCCATGTGCCTTGAGAAAATTTGATGATTTATCAACAGAAGTTGTTGAGAACAAGTTTGCAGATCAAAAATTATTTTCTTTTCATACTCTGGAGCAGGTCTCGGATCTAGCTCATCATCTCCTTGTCCAACTTCAGGTATCTCCTCTTCATTCCAGATGTCATGGCCCTTTGCTTGTTGCGGTTTGGGAGCTTGAGGACCACCTTGTTTAAGTATTACAGGAAGGAAGAAATGTCACAGTTAACTACAGTAGTCATTTTTCCTGGTCAGAGCTTCATACCCAGCGGCTTTGTAAAACATATAAATCAAAAAACCGAGTTTTCCCTTATAGATCTTATAGTCACAGCAGTTGCTGATCTCGAGGCAGAAGGAAACAAGCACACAACAACAACAACAACAACAAAAACTGTCATTTTGCATTCTTTTTCTCTTCGAGTATTTCACGTAAGTTCGATGCCTTCCCAGCTATTTGATTACTTTTTGCAACGTGCACTGCAATGAGGCAGTCATTATTGAAGAGAAAATAGGGCTTACCAGGTTTTTCTTGTTTCTTTGGTGGCCCAATGCTTCCAGGATTTACTGCGGCGGATTTCTTAGGCGAGAAATTTTCGTCCTGTGCATTGATAACAGTAGGCAGACAGTGTCAAGGCAAACACAGATTCGATTTAAATTACGCCCCTGCAAATAAGCTAATACTCGCTGCTCTACCCCTTCAAAATTTCTTTACTTTACATAGTTTTACTTTACTTACATCAGAACTTGAATCATCGCCGTGTGGAGGTTTCAAAAGCTCGGACAGAGCCTCAAGTCCAGCTGGATTGAACGCCATATTTGTTTACCTTGGTAACCGTGCCCCACTATCCCTTCCCGTGTAGAGTCACTGATTGTTCTCGAACCATGCTTCACTCGAGCAATATTGTGAAAAATAGTAAATTAAAAAATATTTAATGTTAGCCTGGACTTCGATATGCTGGATCATGGATCGTACCGGAAAAATTGTTTCATTATTTATAAACAAAATCTTTTCACTTCAGAATATATGTTCTCGCTAGTGTGTTTGTTCGTTTATTTGTCTTTTTCTTTTTTTAATGTAGCTAACCTGAATGGTGTTGGTACGGAGAATGGGTGAATATCGAGAATTCAAAAGAAGGAACTGAGAATTGAGTCGGGCCTTGGATAATGAAGCAAAGAGTAAGAAGAGGATTACCGGGTGAATAAGGGCTAAGGGGTAGGAATGGCCTGTGTACAGCCGCCTTCTACCCTCTCCGATTTTCTTTTGGAGGGTAGGGGGGAGGCGGCGGTACCGGACGCAGGCTTGGATAGGGAAGGGAGGATTAGGAGGTGGTAGAAATGGTTACGAGGGGGGTAGGGTCGAAATTGCGGACTTGGGGTAGGCGAGTTAATAAGAGATTGAAATGTCAGTAACATTTGAATTTTATGTAATGTTAGTTTAGTCTATTTTAAATGGAGAACGTGGAATAGATTATAAAGACTGAAGCCAAATAGAGTTAATATATAAATGATTAAATAGAAAAAGATGGGAATGAGGCGAACGGAAGAACCTTGATTTAAAGTACACTTTTTTTGACAGCTTTAACATGACAAAAATGAAACTTAAAACGACATTAAAAAGAACTATTTTAATGCTTAAGAAATGAGTTAGGTTTTTTTACAGAACTAGTTTCTTTCTCTTGTCAGAACAGTATTCGTGATAGTTTAATTCTCGGAACCAACAGTATCAAGTAAAAACCGTCACACGGTGATTACCACTATCTGCAACAATCACGTGACCTCGGCGATTCACCGCCATTGCATACGGAGTATCAACACAACCGGGTCCTGATCCTAGTCTCCCAAAACTACCAATAAAATTTCCCTGGGGATCTATTACTTGGATACGATGGTTCAAGCTGTCGGCTACCAAAATATTACCCACATTGTCAACAGCTAGCCCTCTGGGATTCATAAATTGGTTTCTGCCAGTCCCGTTACAACCCACAAAAGTAAAAGACCTTCCGTGATCATGGAATATTTTCAGCTGGTGACTTTCGCATTCAGATATCACAACATCGTTGTTCTTCGTGGTGGCTACCCCACTGGGATATTGAAGGTACATTGAACCACCAATAAAACCTAAAAAGTGACCATCAATACGAAATTTCTGTATTCTGTGATTCGGTCGATCGGCTGCAAGTATGTTTCCATCGCGATCCACAGTCAGCGCAGAGATTTCTGGCCTCGTGTCGCTCTTGCTGTAAACAGGAAGAAAGTTATGCGACAATGCCCCATCCGAACTGAAAACCTTTATTATCTGTGAATCCGTTGTTATTATGTTTCCTCGTTTATTAATTGCAATAGCTACAGGGCCCATGTTTCCAAATGTAAGCGGTTCCCGTGAGAGCTCCCCCATAGAGTCAAACACCAGAATACGGCAATTATTTCGGTCAGCGGCATAAATTAATCCTTTGTGGCTCGCTACACAGCATGGAGAGTCAAATTGAAGGGGAACAGTACGCATGCCCAATGAGCCAACTGAATAGGAATTCTCCTCCAGGACCTCTGAATAGTTCAAACTCTGTCGAAAGAGAAAAGAGAACCCATTAAGTTTATTCCTTCGACTCTGTGCTCGTTACTACCAGAGCAATATGGCAACGTTTGTTTTCAATGTAACTTGGATCAAACGAGATAATTGCGTCAACAGTTTTTCTCTTTCCCAAATAGAACCTCAACGTCACCATAACTTGTTCAGTTGAGGTAAAAAAGCGTAAATTGTCGGGTCGTCAAAAGTCACATTTACCTTTGTCTTTTGCTTTTCTGTGTTTTCCAGTCTCCAGAGAGGTACTTTAAAAGCGTTGTTTGCGATACCATCTCTTCTTGTTCGTTCAAGTTCTTCTTGTGTTTCATTGATTTGATTCTGTAGAACAGACAGTTCGAACTCATTCTTTCTTATTTCCTGCTTCAGTTTTCTAACATCCTCCATAGTTTCCAAAATATATTGGTCAACACTCACAAGTTCTTGTGTTTTTAGAAACGTGTCTTCGTTATGATGTCGGACGGCCTCGCGTTTTTCCAACAACTGAGCCCGAGTATCGTCCACGGATTTGATCATTTTCTTCAATGTTTCTTGTTTTTCGTCTTTTTGCTTGTTTAACGTTTCCAAAGTCTTACTTGCTTTCTCATTGGTGTGTTTCTCAAAAATTGTTTTCCTCCTATCTGCTTGTCCAAATTTCTTCAATTGTTTATCCTTGGTTCCCAACAGGTTTTGTAATTCATTAAGATCTTTTTCCTGAGCCTCAAACATGGCTTCGTTTTCCTGTGCTCTTTCTTCGATTACGCTTTTTTCTTGTTCTGCCACTTCTCGTTTTTCTGAGATATGATCAATAGCTTGTTGACCCACAATCAAAATTTCTTTCTGCGAGTCAAGCAACATTTGTTTTTCTTCAAGAGTCTTCTTCAAATCATTTCCCCGCGAGGAACAGTGAGCCAGTTCTTCCAGCTGCCTTCCCATCAACCGCTGCAGGGCATTGGTTCTGCGACTGATCGCAGCGCTGCTCTCACCTTGAGATCAGGAAGAGGGAAAAAAAAGTTTCTCCTACAATTGGATACTTGATGACAAGACAGTACTGCTACCTCTACGTCGATAGACTATGTAACTCTACCTACTAGCTGATATACATTGGCTTGCCAATGAGCTGTGGGAATTAAAAAATACATGCAGTTAAAACATTCCCAGTCGCCTTTTGAGTGGATATTTTATCGATGTTATAGGGAGAAACCAGCAGATAGAAGCATTTTTGCATCCCCCCCTCCCCTCCCAGTAGGTCTAGATTTCTTCGCCGTTACTAACAAAAATGAGCTCATCGTACCGATGATCAGGAACACCTAGTTATTGCAATTGTGAAAATTGAGGAAATAATATGATTTTATGATATCCATGCATTACAAGTTACTCTATGGCTGAAAAACAACAAATTTTCCATGCTCATTGTCTTGTCTGCGGCCCAATTAAAAGGAATCTCATAGGTTTTTATGACGTGTAACATTGTTTAAGTTCAGGGAAGATCTGTTTATTCCATGTTGTAAACACTAACTTTTCTCACAAAATGAATTCCTACGTGAATCTTGAGGACTACCAATTTCCTTAATGTTTACGACATTAATTTTTGACAGCACGGTTTGTACTGTTATCAGCAAACAACGATTTAACAAATGGTAAACACCACAGCGTACACTATTGAGTTATGGATGCACGCGGGAGGTTGCTAAGCACGAAAGAAGCGTAAGAGTCGCTCGAGGCGATAGCCGAGAGCGACTCTAGCTTCTTGAGTGCTTAGCAAACCTCCCAAGTGCATCCATAACTCAATAGTGTACGCTGTGGTGTTTACCATTTGTTTTATAACATAACATTAACACATTGTAGCTAAAGAGTTCCCTTTTATTTAACAAATCTTACGTGACCAGAAAAAAACAAGCGCGCGCGGAAAAATAGTCTTTGCATTTTCTCACGTCAGCAGCGTACACTCATGGGCAAATGGAGGACGCTAAATTGACCAATCAGAGCGCGCGCTTTACTTTGGTTATGTTATAAATATCAATTAACGTTATCTAGTACTTACCTTCCTTCGATTTGCCATTCATTACTTGCACGGCTTGTTTATATTCATCCAATAATTCGATGAGTGTTAATAATTCACAGTCTTGCAAAAGTTTTCGCAGGAAAGACAATTTTTTCTCTGTGACTAATCCCCGTTCTTGAAGAATATGGATGACCTCGAATCCACCCTTAAGTTTGTAGAGGCGTTCTTTGTCAACATGGCCACGAAGTTGTACTTTAATCTTGCGTATACTTTCACGGGTAAGCTGGCTTGAGATTGTGCCCAACAAAACATTAAACGGTGAAATCTGGCTTTTCTCGGATAAAGCGTAAGCCATTGGTGGAATCTTACATGCCGAGACGTCAATAACTTTCTGCTCGTAACATGCGCGTGTTTGACACTCGTAAATGGAAGTAGTTGCTATGATTGTCAAGTATATTTGCCTGGCAGTTAATTTTCCGATTGATTTGAAAGTAATCAAGTGCTCCTTTTGTTAATGATCATTTAATTTGCCAAAGTTAATCCACCACATTCAACATAAAGGCTATCAAAGAACGGAGACCTGTGGAACAAAATGGCAACTCAAAATCTCATTGGTTCATTTTTTGTAATAAGAGTCTTTCATGTTTTCAGTCTTTGGGGAACATGCATTAACATATTGATGAGACTTTAATTCGGAGCGATAAAAGAGAGCTAAATCGAGTTGATATAATAAATTTTGAGTTTCTTTCAAGTGAGGTTTCCTTGGATTGGGGCGTCAAACTTCGCAGTTGCAAATGGTTGTAAATACAATGTCTTTCTTCGCTTTCATCGTAACACTGAATACGCGCATCATACCAAAAAAGACATAACTGAGTAAAGTGCAGGTTATACTTCTGATTTCTCTCTAGCCTTGATCAGTGTATGATTTGGAAACTTATAAAATAGCGTGACATTTTTTTTTTTTAATTGAGATAAACTCTAAAAGTTCGTTAACAAACGTAATCCACGGCGTAGTGTTTGAATGTATTAAGTGACAAGGCGACATTCAATGTAAAGGTTACCTTTTAATAATCCATTGCGCTCTGTATACTAACTTCAAAAAAATAAACTAAATATACGATATATGCAACTGATTCCACAGATCGGATACGAAATTATCATTCAACAATAAGTATATCGACATCTTCACTCAAAGTGCACTCACACATAGTTTAGAAATTTCATCTAATTGTTTGTTTACTCAACGAGGGAGAAATAATCAAAGAGTTATAATATAAACACATAAAGAGCTAATTTTCCATCTCAACTCTAAGCATTGAAGGGCATTTTTTGTTAATCATATTAGCACTTCTTTCTTTACCGTTTCCTCGCTTTGTTGCTACACTGGATAGATCTTTTGTGTTATAAGAACCGACCGAACGCGTTCTTGATCTGTTCCCGTTCACAATGTCCTGTTTGTTTAGCGCGACTGCCGCCATAACAACAGAGTCAAGTTCTCCCTGGTTGTTATTTTCGGCCAGTTCGTGGCCTGGCGTCCACGGAACCAATTCTAAAGGCTCGATACTTTTCATAAAACCCTTCACAGCTTGTCTTTGAAGATAAAGCTCTTTTTCTCGAACTCGACGAAAATATTCCAAGTCAATCTCTAAAGAAGTATATCGACGTTGTTTTTGACCGGCATTTTTGGAATCTCGCGCGTTATTCCTCTGCTTTACACTAAACTCCGGAACTTTATAGTATGAAGTCCTCGCTGGAGCACTCCTTGCTCGGTTCAGTCTTTGGGTTACAGTTTTAAGTTGTCTCTCCCACATTTTATTTCGCTTTTCCAGAGCTGTCATAGGTCGAGGTGGTAGATTAGGTTTTTCTGTAAAACGTTGCAGGTCTTCGCCATATATTGCAGGGCTTTGTAAGCAAGGCGGCTCACGCGATTTTGCTCTTCTAAATTTCGGCAACGGTGGCTTAGGGCTTGCACTTAAACAGCGCAGCTGCCTTAAAGACATTCTCTTCTCACCGTTGGTATCATTGTTTTTGCTTTGTAAGTCTCGTAATCCTCGAGCGCGTTTGTGATTGCTGTCTAAACTCTCTTTGACTTCGTCGTGCTTCTTTGCAATGTCCACACTGAGAGAGAGTTTACGTTGAAATCGATGCACAACAAGCCTTTGATCGGACGATATTCTGGCAACTCTTTGCTGTTCTTGTCTATTTAAACAATCCATCTCTTTCTTAAGCTGAATTTCTTCTTTCCAATTAGCCGAATGTACTTTTTGAGACTTTTCTGAACTGCCCGGGCCAGACTTTTGCCTATCGATGTAACTTGCAAATTGGATCATCTTACCATCAGAAACTCATAGCTGGACGAAATTAGTTGTTACACGGTTCTTTTCAATCAATGTAATCCTCACAACAACTGTATGTTAAGCGTCCACATTCGTAATCTGTACTTCCACGGGTCAGAATATCGGAACAAAAGATAAAGGTGAAAATTAGCATTACTATACTACCTTCATGTTCATCACCTCACACTACTCCAAGAAAACAATTCAACATTGTCTCTCGATTTGAAATTACAGTAACTAGGTTTAACATCTCGGCATTCCAGACTTTTATTGTTTGCTTTTAGAGTAAACAAGTCTTCTCTTTGATTCAACCGTGATTTGAATACCATCTGAAGTGACAAAGCTAACGCGGCGCGACAGACATCGCAGTAGCTGTAAGGGAAGTCAACGTACGATTTGATTCGCACATTCGCCTTTTCCTGTTTTTACTGCCTGAAAGAATTGTTTAAAGGGAGAGCACATTGCGATATTTATATACATTAGATAAAACAATGAAGTTCACGTGAGCTAATCCATCTGTCCATAACGAGCTGGGTGTAATTGTATATTATAATATTGCTTTTACTGTTCGTCAGCTTCTTGATATATTCGTAAAGATGACGGATTTCTTAAGTTGCACACTGAAAACCGTAAATGGAAAATTGTGTGGTTGTTAAATTGCTTTCCCACCTGTTGCTTCGACTTTATGAGTCGATCTAAACAAACTAATGAAACGCTACTTGATTAACACAAATTTTGAACTTAATTTTTCATTGTGGTCCAGTCTATTTAGAAATGGATTTGTCCGTTATGCCATTATCCTTTCGGTATTATCATCAAATGCTTCTGCTTTTAGAAGTGCCTGTCTTTAGCCTGGAATGCATAGGACAATATTTTCTTTCAAAGCCATAAATTAAACAGGCAGCTTTACAGATTCTAACAGCTGGGGGGCAAACTTCATAGCAACGGCTGTTCATTTCAAAGCAAAAGAAAACAAACTGGTTTCTAGGCAGCTTGAGCTTGGCGGCCTTGCCGTGTCCTAGCTTCTCACCCACTGATTGGCTGAGAGTTCAGCATCCCTGAAAGAGATGACATAAAGGCTTCATCACTCCCGTCCGGAGTTTTGATGAACACACTGGCTGAGCTAATACAGAAGCTAAATCTAATTAAAAAGGACTCGAGGACTTTTTCTTGAACAACTCGGAAAAGGTGTTCTAACACCACAACAAAAGAAAACCAGAGATTATTCTGAAAAATGCCTTGCAAAAGCACAAACTGGGTGGAGTATGCACGGTATCAAACGGGGCCTGTGGTTTTATAATTTTTTTTTTCTGTTCTTGCTTGTCGTTGGCTTAACGAATTGGTAATTTACATACAACTACATATGTTGATCATTTTTAGAGCTTTTAGTTCACAGGATCACCATGCAGGTTTCGCCATCGACACAAGAGGAGAGACACCATATCTAACATTGAAATTAAAAACAACTCCCTCCCACCGAAAAAAAAATTGACAAAAAAATGGAAAGTAAAAGCCTCTTTCAACTTATTTCTTTTTTTGCTACGTTTGGTCAAAATTGATACGAAACTAATCCCTTTGCAACAAATGCGCTTAAGAAATAATCCATTTAATTCAATAAGCCACGAAACTAATAACTGGTTTTTAGTCAAGGATTCCCGTAATTAAGGTCTTATAAATGTGTAAATTGAAGGCCATTTTTAATTTTAATCCGAGAACGAACGTCAATCAAGATCAACTTGTTTCAAGGTGCGTTTGTCGTTTCGAAGAGCCTTAAATGAACTTCAGTCAAAAATGCATTTATTCTTATTGGCTAGTTTTAATTTTATTTCTTTTGCTGTTTTTCTCTTACCCAACAACATAAGAACAGCACCTTGCAGCCTGTTGACACACTGTTAGCGAAACATTTGTGGTACGTTGTTAAGTGGGCCGTTCGATGCAAACATTTATTCTTGTGTGTTAACCGACAATTAAAACACAAGCCGTCGAGTTTTACCACATGTTTCTGTCCTTTCTGTATGTTTCTGAAATTATGAAATAAGGGTAATCTTACTCTATGATTTTGCAGAAATATTCTTAATATACCACAGATCATTGAGGACTTTATGAAGCTTTTTACGAGGAATCCGCCCGCGGTAAATTTTAATATACAAATATAGATACTTTTGTCGTGTAATACATGCATATTCTTGCGTGGATAAACAAGGCTACCAGTTATTTTTTATTTCGTGTGAAGCCTGGGTTATTACAGTCTAGCTTGCTATTTTCGTTGCTCTCTGCTGTCACTGAGAAAAAAGGTAATGATACCACATTACTTCAAATTAAGGTTTTGACGAATAATCCACTGGCCAAAAGCCACCTAAAGCGGAACATGAACGTTATTTTCATCTTTGGAGATTCGAAATAACGTCAGCATTACCACTGATGATTCGATGACATGGAAAAGTGGCTTTTGTTATAAACAAAAAAAATTTTCGTCGTATGGCCGTGCTGCGTCGAAGAGGCAGATCTATTTGATTCAATGCAGCGTTTTCAGGGTAATTTTGCTTATATTCCTACCATTCAATATAGGCACAGAAACTGACAAAAATAGATATCGTCTTCAAGCCAACTGCACCTTTAGAATTCATTTTGCTTCATATACAGTCATACAGCTGTCAGCTTGGGTTGGCACTTCGAAATGAAATTGGAAAAGCTTGAAAATGTTGCAACTAAAGCAGAACTGCCAAACTCTACTGTACGAAATTAGCGATCGGTGAACTTTAAAGAATGTCGGAAATACATTCTGTAACCGAGGAGGAACATGTAGATTGCGTAAAAAGTGCGAACTTCAGTGAACTGGACTTAAACAGCGACCCTCTTAAGACAAAAAAGAAAGTTCAATTTTCATGGCCATTGGAATATTGGAGGGAATTTGACAAGGAGACGGGAGAGGTTTATGAACTAAAGGATGAAACGAAGCAAGAAACAACTGATTCATCGCCAGACCCGTCTGACAATATTGAAACAAAAAACAAAAATGTTCCAGACTTAAAGAGTGACCAAATACCTGGTTGCAAGAACAGTGCTAAGACTCAAAGTATAAATGACGTATTTCAAGTTTTACAGAAACGAAATTACAAGAAAACGAATACATTCAAACAGACAAGGGATAAACGGAATAATCCAGAATGCAAAAATTCTGTCAATAAACGAAATTTGACCACATTTCCGTCCACTTCTTTACACACGAAACAGCTGAAACCAAGCAGTTTGTTTTGCAAAGTGTCAAGCTGCTCAAAGCTGGCACACAAAGGAGAATTCACGCTTTATCTTCGAAGTAAGGAGCGTTCGCTCATACAAGATCACTGCAATTACTCATTTTCGAGTTCCCTCGGCATGTTGACAAGGGTAAAAGTACCTTCATTGCCTTTGGTTTGTACGGGTCGGAAATTGTACGATGAGCGGCTTCTACCAGTTGCAGAACGGAAAAAAAAAAATTGCTCGCCGGTTTACACTTCGAAAAATAACAATGGGCTGCCACCACTGAGCTGCGGAAAGTTAGCGACCCCAGATATTGTACAACTCTTTGACTAGCTAGCTTTAAAAAAGTTATTGAGTTTTCACTATTGTTAAACACGTTTTGGACACGATGTTAGTTAGTAGATTCGCTAGAGGACGAAAACCACATCAGTATTTATTTTGCCAGTACACTGCGAAAAATAATGTTCAGCATTAGTCGGGAGAGAAATCCCAGCTGCATAGGATGTATTTGAAGTCTTCGTGACCTGTGGGGAAACGAGGGAACCAAACGTGTTGAGTGAAAATAAGTAGCTCTGGGCACAAGAATGTCTTAAATCGAAACTTGCATAAACTCAGTACAGCAGCCATAGACGCATATCATGTAGCGTAATGTTAGATTAAAATACGATAAAATTGTTATCTGCATCTGTGTTGTTTCCTTTTAACCCGTGCCAGGCTCTCGGTTGAAGGAGACGAGCGGAAAGGGGGCGCGAAAATTAGCCAGCGGACGCAGAGGTAGCGGTTGTCTGAGAAACAGGGCGCGCGACGCTTGTTTCATCTACACCATATTTCGGGCGCCCACTGCCTTGCCTGTCTGCTTTGACTACGAACCTGGATTATGCTATTTTTTTCTGTCCGCCTTCATGAGATCTTTGACACGACATTTTTTAGAGATGACTTAAATGTTTTAATTTGTAAAAAGAAAAGAAGGATTGAAGGGGGCGTTTGCCTGTAGATACGTGGATCATCAGTCAGGGGGTTTGAAACCTGCTTACCGCAGATTAGGTACACTCGCTTAGAAATTCCCTCTCCCCACTCGCTCCCACATGTTTTCGCCGACAAATGTTAGTATTTTTCGACTACTATCTTTTGACTCAAAAGATAAACTATAAAAACATTGAGTACTATCTATTTGAGAAAACTCTTTCGATTTTGCGTCGAAATTTTTAAGTCAGTTTCGCATAATGTGGACGTGTCGTATGATCTGACATGCGAAATAGATAATTACGTTTCGCAGGAACGTCTGACAGACAAAGAACATCGCATCCGCAATGAAACAAAACTTGTCCGTGGTAGGAGGTCGCTGTTTATTTTAACTTTTCTCGCATCCATTAACGACAGACCTTTGCATGTTTAGAGGTGGTGAAAACCTGAATTTACGCACAGGTAGTTCGCGGGTAAGAAGTTTGACTGACCTTTGAACAACTTTCAAGTGCAACAACCTACTTGAAGAAAATCCTTCTGCTCTACGATTCGCCAAGTCAACGTTTTTCTATCATGAGACACTAAAGGTTTCAATTTCCATATTAACGAACTTCACGTTATTCCTTGTTACAGATCTTTTGTTGTGTGGATGATTTTATTAAATTAAGGAATATCAGTGTCACCTTACTTGACCTCGCCACTAAAGCCCATTGTGCTTTTGTCCAATGAGAAACGTTTGTTATTACGTGTAATCGGTCTCTTGTGATCCAGACACGTTTATTTTAGCGTGTGTAAATAGATGCACTTGCTGTGGTTGCGTTTCGATCGAGTTCTGAATCGGTCCAAAACTACATCAAACGGAAACGATTCGCGCACAAAGTGATATGTCTGGTGGAGAAGGCTGGTTTGCATTCATTCAACCGATACATTAAATTAAGTAAAGATCGAGACTTGAATCTATTGGGAATTGGATTTCATGACCTTTTCTTCATTGCATTACGCGGAGGACAGTAAGTGCAGAACAGATTGGAGTACAGAACAATTCCGACAAAACAAGGGCAGGACAAAGGAAATAAATAGAAATAACTCAAGTGATTAACGAGACGTTGGTTTTCTAGCTCAGTGGGAAACAATAAAGCCAGAAAGAGATCCGAGTTGACCGCGCTGTTTAAAGAGCCTTTACAAGAAACGTTAAGCCGGTATAGAACAAGGATTTTTCATGAAGAATCTGCATGGAAAAAGGAAAAGAAAAGGCAAGAACTGTAAAAACCATGCCAAAGAAACCTCAGCTAACGCTAGTGGAATTAATTCGCTTGCAGAACTGAAGGTCAAGGATATAAAATCAGACAGAGTCAGTCAGTTTAATTTTGTCAGTGAAGATCATTACAGTTTCTATGAGAGGACTTCAGTGAGACGGGAGGCTCGGAAGGGACTGGGATGTAAAGGTTCCGAATCTACTATGGAGAACGAGGGATTACAAACGATATCCAGTGAGACTAAAGGTCAGCAGAAATCGGCTTTGCCGCCTTTGAAAGACTTAGCAAGATCACAACAACGGAAGCAGATGACAAGAAATGCTTTTGGTCAGTCGAAACTCGATACGAAACTGCAAGACGACGGAAATCGTGGGAAAGAAAACATTGTGTCAACCTCTTCTGAGAAGTCAAAGACGCTCGCGAGTGTATCTTTTGTAGGTATATACGACCTGGATGATATGAATAACACCCCGAAAAACTGGAGTGACGGAGTTTTAAACTTAGAAAGGGAACAAAAAGTTCAAGGAGAAAGTAATAAAGAAAAACCCAGCGAACAGGTCGAAAATACGTTGGGTTATGTAATTCAAAATTTAACGCTAGAAGGAAAGAGTTATAAGAGTAAGAAGAATTCACTCCAGAATAAACTCATCCTTCCTGGAATAAAAGAGAACAAAAAGTTTATCGACGATAAATTTAAAACATTTAAGAGACGCGACACATTGTACAGAGGAAGAGAAAAAAAACACAGACTTCCAAATTTGGTTCCGAGTGACCGGAGAACTCCAAGGATGGTTGAAAGCTTTACAAAACGGATGCTGAGCAATCGTAGAGGAAAAAAGCGAACACACCATAACTCTTTTGAGCAAGTTTACTTAGAGAGAGAAATTCCTCGGTTGCCACTTATTTTAAATGGACGAGTAACTCAATTTTGATTTCCTCAAACTCAACTTTAATTACGACTGGTTGGTTGTTTACAAGTCACCTCATCTCCAGCCATTTCCGCGATTCACAGTGCAGTTATCAGCAATAAATTTATAGATTCTGTAACGGTTCATGCCTTCCATTTACTTGCTGTTCAAAAGTGATTTGTCGGTGTGTTCCCAGGCTTTTGCTTACACTGGTCCATGCAAAACATTTGAAGCCATACTTGCAAGTTACTTAATCTGCCTCGATCGACGGAGTGATCTAAGCCAATTGAAGTAAAATTTTCTCTTGATCATTTGATGCGAAAATGTTTGAGAAATCCAATAGTATTTCTGGCGTCGTTATGTATCATGTTCGTCTAGTTGGTAAATGCATTATTTAACACTGAAGTCAGTCTGTAATAGACATCAGATACTAATGAACTCATGGATTATAGGTCGTACTTCCTTTTGTCTGAATTCAAAACTAATCAGTTCTAACGTAGTCAATACTTAGCTTTAAATCAGCAAGCCTTAAGAGTCTATTATCGCTAATACACAAAGGTGCACAGTGGTAGGCAAAGAAAGGAAGAGTGAAATGATACGCAAAGGCACGCAATGGTAGGCAAAGACAAGTGTACTGAAATAATACACAAAGGCGCGCAGTGGTTGGTAAAGACAAGGTAGTACAGTTTGGTAACGAAGTAAGCTTACTAGAATAAAGGCTGATAGTTTCGAAAGAAACTGTTTGGGGCTGCGTCGGTGGGAGTAACGAAATAATTTGGATGTATCAACAAAGTTGAAATGGTAAAATGGCCACCGTAACGATTACAAAAGCTGACGTTTCGAGCGTTAGCCCTTCGTCGGAGCTTACTAGAATCGAGAACAAATGTCAACTAAGTTGTTAGGGTTCATACATAGCAATAAAAAAACGCTCCTGTAGCTGTAGGTCTGTTGGGGCTGGTAAACAACGATACTTAACAATAGTTTCCAGCGTTAATGTCTGCAAACGTTTCGAGAATATGCAAATGATTTAAATAACCCTGACGGCTTCACGGATCTAAAAATCAGGAGGAATTTTACAATTTTTTACAATGACTTAAACAACTTTTAATTTTGTTCATCTGGCGTGCTGTCATCGTCATATTTTACTGAACTAAACAAGGTTAACCGTGGATGCGACACCTCACAACGAGGCATTAAACCTTGAACCATCCGTAAGCAGCAAAATAGACGAACGTTTAAAAATAAAAATAAAATAAAAAAAAGCACGCAGATTGTACTGCAAATTTAATCGCAGTTTTTCTGAATATCATTACTGCTCGCGCATGGAAGTGTACATTTAAAGATTTCACGAGAACGAATTTTACAACAAATTGAGAAAACGCGTCAATGGTCTCAACCATAAACCAGTGTCCGCCTTCGTTCCCAGTGCCTACGTCTCCTTGCTTCCACTAATCAAATCGTTACGAAAAAGAGAGGCTCTGGTAACAAGTAGCTTGTTTAATCTATTTGTTTGTATTAGCGCTGTTTATTTCGTTACATAATGCATAAATTATTCAACAATTATTCCACGAGCGCGCGTTGGATATGAGATGATAGATAGCCAACGAGGCACGTAGCGCCTCGTTGGCTATAATCATCTCATATCCAACAAGCGCGAGTGGAATAATTGGTTTATTAAAAACGTTAAATTAAATTATTAAATTTTTAGCTCCCTTTTAATTTTAAGCTGACACGTACGCTTGCCATATTTGTAGATTATGGTATATAAAAGCCAATAAAAAGTCTTGAATTGCATTATCCAATGATCCAGTTTTTAATAATTCCTATTACTGTATAGGATAACTTCTATCTTTCTTACAAATGTGATCGTCATATGCAGACGGACGTTTGCCACAGTTAACAGTAGCAGTCTTCTCGTACAGTGAAGTTCGCTGACAACACTTAATTTATATTTTCTTTTCCACAATAGTGTTACTACAGTAGAAAGCCGCATCGCTAAATAAACATATTCCAATTACTGAAAATTGCATTTTAGCACTTAGCGCTGTGAATTTCATCGCTTTCGGCCTATCATCAATACAGACCTTGGTATCCAGTAGCTTCTGACAAAACAGATTTCTAATTTTGAAAAGCTTTCACCACACTTAGCAGAAAATTGTTCTCCATGAGTAATCTCTACTAAACTGTTTTAGGCTGCAGTTTTCTATTGGGAGTTATTTGTAGCCTTTTGTTTAAAGGGGGATTAAGGCAATGTCGTCAATGAAAATTACCACCAAATTATTTCATGTAATTTGGCAGCTTCGGACGGCGTAATTTGTCCCACTCTTATGGTAGTGAAAGCTTTCAGCTTACGTCGAGGCTATTCGTCTATCTCGCTCTCTACTAAGAGACGTTTTTCTATATTCTGTTATTTTTAAGGCAAGGTGACACACTTCTGATTTACATTAATTCCAACAGTTATTTGAAAGAAGAGAGTAATCTTCAAACTGTCAACAATGCGTTTTGAGGAAAGCTGTGTTAGCACTAAGAGCAAACATTCAAAACGCGAGAAAAATCACTCACGCCTGATGGAAATGTATCAAGAGTAGACACGATCTGTTTTCATAACGACACAGACTTCGACTCCAACACGAAACAATGGCGAAAATAAACAAGTACAATGTGTTATTCGAAGACATTCAAATTCAGCTACAAAGACCAACTGTTCTGAATGTCACAGAGATCAAGACTCGTCATAAAAGACCTCCGTTGCTTTTGCCGAAGTTGAAAGCGAAAGAAACTTCATCGAAGACAGAAAAGGGCCTACAAGTCGACTTGGAATTGAATGTGCGTGGTGTGGGCCGGAAGGACAACAAAAGCTTTGGTAATCGGACAAAACGGAAAGCCGAGAAAAGAAAGACAAAATCCAAGGATAAAATTAAAGGTTTGTCAGGCCTTAGAAACAAGGATAAAAGTCCGAACAATCCGCACTATTCTCTTCCTCCAATAGATTCTAAATCTTCAACGCAACAACACATGGAAAATTCTCTAAGCTTCTCAAATGTAGGGACTTTAAAGCCATATCGGGAATTTGAAACTGCGTTCAATACGCTCGTAAAAGTGATTGAGAGGAGTAAAGAAGAACAGAAAAGAACTAAAGAGAGATTTCAAAGTAACATTGTACAAGGAGAACAAAAACCAATCAACGAGAAGCTTCAGTCGCCAGAGGAAGGAAAAGACAACTGTTCGCCCGAGTCACAGAATTGCTCAGTAATATCATAGTTAATAGATGGGACTGGTAATATTGGTTTAATAGCTTTGCTTAGTACTAGTCTTGGTTACCATGCTAACCAACACCTTCATGAAGCTTTTCAGTATGTGAGGTGTTATTCTGTTTTTAAGTTAATCCAAAATGAAAAATTCCCCAAATGGTTGTTTGGCACATCGCCTTAACAATTTAAAGCTTGTGATTTTCATTCACATCCAGAGTCTCCAGATTATGGGAATTAATGAATCACAATTTTCAGACCATTTACTTAAAACTGTCTTTTACTTCTGAAGTATTCTCCTGGGATGAAAGGTGTTCTTTAAATAAAAGACTAAGTTTCACAATTTATACCTTTGTAGGTGCAAAGTAGAACTTCACAAATTTAGACAAAAGTCTGACAAAAGTCCAGGTTTGCCAACTATCAAATAAAAATATCACACGAGACACGTATTTTTGGGCAGCTACGTGATTGAAGAGCAATTTGCTCTAAATTAAATCACTTGTGTTACATATTAATGAATAGAATGTAGTGTCTAAGAGACACAGATTTCTTAGAAAAAAGAAGTTAAATAAATAAGATTTCTTTAGATACTTAACAATTTTTTTTCGAATTTTACTGAAACATAGAAATAAAATCAGTGCACTTCTATCGAGAAAAAGACTTTTGTTCCGAAAGGCTTCCCCTACAAAGTGCTTACTTTTAAGTGGTTAATTTGTAGTTAAGTAAAATAGTCAAGGCCTTATCGTCGATGGAATTATTTCTAGTTTGTAGATGAAATTCATGTAGTGATCTACTTCAGAGAAACAATTCGTCACGACAAAAACCTAAAATTTCTCGCTCGACATTTTTTTTCTTTAGCACGTGCAGAATATTCTCAACAGCTGATATGTCCACGTTGGTTTCCAATCATCACCAATCCGGAGCAATCCAATCGAAGAATTTCATGGCTAATTCAAATCCAAGGAAACAAGCCTGTCGAAGGGAAAACAGCGAATTTTTCAAATACCAACAATAAAAGAAACTACAAGGTAGAGAAAAGGCGGAAAGTGGTGGGATTGGATCGAAGTTTATGGTCAGTAAGCGTTTTGAGCTTTAGAGCTTTAAGCGTTTTGGATTGAGTACGTAAAATTAGAAAAATCTAAGTGATTTCAACAGCCAGTCAGTGAGAGGGAAAATATCACAAGCCAATGAAAATTCAAATTAAAAGCATGCAAGCGCGGAAAAAAGCAAGCGACCAAGTCACCGCTGGTTTTAGTTTTCCACGATTAGTTAGACAGTGGCGCAAGTTTTCTAGACCGCAGAAAGGAAATACCAAAGCTGTAAAATGTCGATCTAAACTTTTTTCTGTGGATGAAATCCAAATGCGTCACTTCCATTGAAAGCTCACGAGTAATACTTTCAGTTGATTCTTCTCATTTTTCATATCCATTCAGTATCATATTCTTAACGGGAACCACTGATGCAATCAAAAGAACCAACTTACCGCGTTAGCTGGGAAAGCTCTGAGCATAACAGGAGTCAGGCCTCTAAAAAGCGCCCCAGGTCCTTCCTCGCGCATCTAAAAATTTTCAGTACGCACTCAGTCAGGCAGATCACGCTACAGAAGTTTCTTCTTACGAGCATATCAGTCTATTATTGCGAAAGCTTAAATCCCGGTTTTTGTTGCATGATGAGACGAGTACTGTTACTTTGCTGGGACGGAATGAAATTCCATAGCAGGTTATTCTTCATAAATTAGTTACGGTTCAATGTTTCCTGACAATCTTTTTTTTAACAAACAACCTCTTTCTAGTGTCTTGCCAAAAAATAAAAAACAATAACAACGACAACGACAACATCAAAAACAGTCACGTGACAAGCCCTTGAACCCAGTCCTTTTGATGCAAAGTCCAGTGCGGCAATCACCGGGCTATTCACATCACTCACAGGTGCTCAAACCAGAAGACTGACCAAACGAAAACCACACACACTACAGCAAACATCCGTAGACCTTGACTTACCATGTGTCTAAAAACATCCCTAACGCCATTTGGATAAGTTCCTTCGGGTGCTGCAAAAATAAACAAAACTAGGATTTGCTTTCTCCCACTTGAATTTTACTCCTTGGGCATTTTATCCCTCTACATACTCTTTCCCTGTAACCCTCCCATTATAATGCAACCAGTGATCTGCACTTCCTCATCTGTAGGAAGGCTACAGTATATTAAACTGAGTGATGTCAGCTGAAGAACTGTGTAGTGCTATCTATTGTCTGAAACCAACTAAGTGCACACCTATGGATCCTGTGAGAAATTTCGCTGAAGGAAATAGTATGGTTATTTGTAACTGGACAGTGAATCATAGGAAATTCACCCAAAAGTCTCTTTCTCATAAATATATTTGTGTGTGATTCTTCGTCATGGTCATGTCGTTGTGGAAATGGCTACTGTACCTGTTTGCAGACGAGACTTGAGTACATCTGGAGCAATACCAACACTCCAGTTCGCCATGCCTGCCACACCTGTGAACACAATAGTCACGTATTCAGTGAAAAGGAAAATGCATATGTGTTACACCCCACAAAATGATTCTAAAGAACAAAGAGGAGATAAAGAGGTGAGATTGCTGTGGCTCTGGGTTTCCTCCCTCAAGTTTAACATAAAAACAAGGAAAAAATTAACATTTCAGGTTTGATTATGAAATGGGATCTTACCTCCAGCACAGAGAATAGACAATGCTCCAACATCTTTGCGCCTAAAACAGAAATGCAGGGCTATTACTCTCTTTTAGCTCCCATACATGTTATTTTGTTCACCCCAAGTCAAGAACTTCTCAAAGACCAGGAAGCAGTATACTTACGACTTTCCCTCTGGAGTAAGTGCATTTAAGAGAAACTCATAAGATGCAAAGTACATCCCTGTAGCTGGTACATCTGTAGAAAAAAAAGGCAAAACATGACAGAAATTTTCCACATATTTCAGTGCTAGTCAAGCTTAGGGAACAAAGAGTTAAAGTAATAAATGCATCATAAAACATTCATTCTAAAACTCTCATCACTCCAATTGCCTGGTTAGCCATGGATAAGACATTTAGTGCTTACTCTTCTTCTTTCACTAAAACAGCACATACATGTGAACTGAGCAGCCAATCAATGTTTGAGATTTAAAACTGGTATTCTTCGTGGGAGTACATTTCATGTATCACTTCTTTTTCCCAGCCCCCCCCCTCCCCTCCTCTCAATCCCAGATGTTCTACTACATTACCCTGACAATATACTAGTACTTTGTTCACACAGACTGAAATGGTTTTCCTTGGAATATTAACACAATAACTAAGCCCCTTCTTTTCACAAAGCACAAATCTGTAAAAGACCAAAACTCCTTGCTTTTCAGTAACTAAATTCCCACCTCTCAATAAAGTTGCACATGTTCCTTTGTACACTCCACGGATTCCACTCTGTTTGTAAAGCTTCTTCACCACATCAGCTGGACCAGCATATTTCTTTTCAGCACCACTAGCTTGCTGAATCTACAGAGTAATTGAAGGAGAGACCATCATATATATATACAATAGGAACCAAGATCCATTCAGCACTTCCTTTCAATCAAAATGCAGAAGTACTTTCTATATAAGATGTCTTCTTTGGACTGGGAAGAGCATTTTCTATTAAAACTTACTTGAGATACAATGAAATATATGAAGTTCATATATTTTGTACTGCGGTATTAGATACATATGATGCACGATCCTCGCAGTAGATAGCGCTATTTAAGCAATAGCGAAAATCAGACCTGAAAAAAATCAGGCCTGTACGGGATTCGAACCACTGACCTGTGCGATACTAGTGCAGCGCTCTACCAATTGAGCTAACAAGCCAACTGGGAGCAGGCCATTAAGTTGATTCGTAATAAACCCGTGAAAGTGATAAATGAGATACAATGAAATATATGAAGTTCATATATTTTATATATCTAATACCGCAGTACAAAATATATAAACTTCATATATTTCATTGTATCTCATTTATCACYTTCACGGGTTTATTACGAATCAACTTAACGCCCTGCTCCCAGTTGGCTTGTTAGGTCAATTGGTAGAGCGCTGCACTAGTATCGCAGAGGTCAGTGGTTCGAATCCCATACAGGCCTGATTTTTTCAGGTCTGATTTTCGCTATTGCTTAAAAAGCGCTATCTACTGCGAGGATCGTGCATCATATGTATCTAATACCACAGTACAAAATATATGAACTTCATATATTTCATTGTATCTCATTTATCACCTTCACGGGTTTATTACGAATCAACTTAACGCCCTGCTCCCAGTTGGCTTGTTAGGTCAATTGGTAGAGCGCTGCACTAGTATCGCAGAGGTCAGTGGTTCGAATCCCGTACAGGCCTGACTTTTTTTCAGGTCTGATTTTCGCTATTGCTTAAATAGCCCTATCTACTGCAAGGATCGTGCATCATACGTAAAACTTACTTGTAAAAGACATTTTATTCTTTCTCCTGGAGCCATAATAACTGTAGTACAAACTCCAGCAAAGAAACCTGATGTCAAAATTTGAAAATACCTGTGAAAAGGGAAACAAACATATAATCTAATGTTATTTAAAAGAATTGGATACTATAAAACCTCTTAACAAACTCAATCCACAACTGACATTAGGTCCAGAAATTGATTGCACAGCTCAGCTGCAGGGAGGTAAGCCATGACCCCTTCCATGCTCCCTTACATGCCCCCAAACTGACCATTAGCTTATCAACCAGAAGAGCTCCAAGTTTCTCATGTTTGAGCTGTGCCCAAATCAAATTAACCATTTTATACAATGACTTCTGACTTACGTTGGTTCATCATTAGGATTCTTGAGTTGCAGTTTTTTGCCCATGTTAAATCCCCAGAAACAGATGGCAAATATTGGTGCCACACCCACTACAGGAGCTGCCATTCCTTTGTATAAACCAAGAACTCCCTTGGAAAAAAAAAAGAAGATTCAACAATCATTACTATGGTAAGTTCAAGGCTGGAGGGGAAATATCTCTCTCATTTAAGGACTCAATTTTCAGTAAGAATCTTGACGAAGCATGGCTTGCCTGAATTAAGTAATTCACAAGTTATCCTTGTCGTTCTTGTTCTTGTATAATTTTCATTTGGTATCCATCAACTCTACTACACTGTTATTTTAAGATTTCTATCTACATCTTAGTTGGGTATTATAGCAAGGATTTATCAAAGGGGGGTTCATAGTTATGGATTTCTACACCCCTTACAAGAAGGGATGTAGAAATGCTGCTATCCCTTGGGTCCCGGCAAGCTTAATTATCAATGTGGCAATTAAACCTTTAACCCCGTGGTATCTAATTTCTCCTTGTAATATCACCCCTGAATCACACATTAAGGTCATGAGAATTAAGGAAATGATCACCAACTAAATCTTTTAATCATTTACCTATCTGGTTACTCATATATGGAACAATCTCCCTACTAAACTCAGGTAACTTGACTCCATAAACAAATTTTTTATAAAGCTATAACAAAAATCAATCTTACCAGTGGCATATTGTGCAAATGTAACATATGTGAGCAATAGAGTTAGCTCTACCGTTCTTTACATATCTTAGTTTATTCTATTACCCAATTATCTTAGTTTATTTTATTATCTAATTATCCTACCGACCTTTTTGTTTCTTTTTTTGGCATTGGTATTTATTTCTCGCATTTTCACCACTATGCTGTTATACATTACCAGTTCTTCATGTTCAGCATTTATTTTTAGTACATTTATCACGAGTAATAATACTTTACTAGTTACTGGAAACCATGTTACCACATTACGTATTCTTTTTTAGGAAGTATATTATCTTAAGTAATTTATATTCTCTTTATATTAACATTTAGTATAATTTCAGAGCTGAGCAAAGAGTTTCCAGCAATCTGATTGGTTGCGTGGTTCCTTATATGACACTATATAAACCGCTCCACACAGTTTATATAAAATGTTAAAATAAAATGTTAAATAAATGTTACTAAAATGTTATGATTTTAGAAATTTCTCTGTTGTCCAACTCTGAAATTATACTAAAACAATTATTCACCTCAGGTTCGGTGAATATTGTTGAATAATCCCCTCTACTTCGTCTTGGGGATTATTCAATGATATTCACCTTGCCTTCTGCAAATAATTATTAAATAGTATCTGTATGCTTTTAGTTAACTGTAGACATAGAATTTTATGTAGTTGAATGTATTTAGTACAAGTCGCTGGCTCATTGCACCTATCGAATTGAAATAAATTTATCTATCTATCTGACTAAAGGAGCTCTTGATTGTTAACCAAATTCTCCTTGTCAGCACATAAGGGAATGTATAGAGAACAGTATGGAAAATATGCATACTGATGTTAGGGTGTAAAGGACTAAGGACCAACAAGAAGATGAAAAGCATAACAAAACATTCCTATAGCTGCAATGTAGATCAAACTGATTATAACCTTATGATTGCACCATACTTTAAAAATTTAGAAATCTCCGGTGACATATACCCAACCAGATATCAAAATCAATATTCCTTTTCCTTCTGGCCAGGTTAAAACTCAGTATAAGTACACAGAGTATGAATACATGTAACCAAGAATGGGATGTCATAACATGTTAACCATATTTTTAGTGTTTCTGACAGTGAGGGCTACAGAATCTCACCTCCTTTCTCACTGTTTTAAGTGCACAGTCAAGGGTGCCTGTGAACAGTGGCTTCTGCCCTGGCTCTGGTTGGGGCATTGTTTGAAGGCAAACCTGATAAAATTGTGATAATCAAACAAGAGAAAAGAAAACATAGAAACAAAGAAACAAAAAAAATAAACGAAAAATATTTGCCACAATTAAAAGAATGAATGACACAGCAGTATGATATGAATACTCCACTGAGTGTTAATTGGCGGGAACTTAATGTTGCGTGACATATTTTAACATAAACGTACATTTGTGATGTCAGTTCCACTTTAGCTTCCATACATATAATAATAGTCTGTTGTGATTGAATTCAAGGCAGCGTCTTTGTTTTCTGGTGTTGAAAAAATCCCCCAAAGAAGAAAAAATGAAATCTTACTCAAGACAAAATGAGTGCACTCAAGTTCAAAATTCATTCATCAATTTATCATCATTCTCATTCACGGAATTTGTAAATAGAAAACCACAAGCCTGATATTCGGAGAAAAATAAAGGGCGAGAAAAATTCGTTTCTTGTTTCTGTTAACTGAGAAATCCGTTGCACATCTAGAGTCCAGAGTGTTCATTTACACCTGTTTTGTCACCAGATTATAGACACTATTCTGAGACTTGACAGTGGTGTTGGAGGGAAAGAAAACCATGAAGTTCATGGACTTTGAACTTTGCGAAAATTATAAGGTAAGAAATTGATATTTAGCCAAAAAATCCTCTTAAAATCGACGGTTTATGACACAGCCATGATTACACTCGCCCTAAAGGCGATATCCCGTTGCATCCTTTCTAGATTATCCATCATGTTTTTAACGATTCCACGTCACGAAAAGTATTTGGAAATAGTTTTGTTCACAACACAATTTACCTTGATCGTGTCTAGTGGATGGCCAGACACTACGCAACATATTCCTCCAAATCCTCCAGCAAGGAAGTTCTTTACACCAGAGGTACTTCTCGTTTGCTTCTTTTGGGGCTCAGCAACAGCGATCTCTTTCTCTGCCATGATGTTACACCGGTATTTCTTACCGACAGTCAGTACTTTGCCGTCATGAGGGTCGTCATCAACTGGTGCCGTGGGGACTGGAACCCAGTCTCATGCCCAGATCTTATCGTGCTTTTGGGTGCGAAAATCTGGCCCACTGAGAAACCCCACCGGTTACTGATTACGTTGCCTGTCAGTTACAGAAACTCCTTGCATGTCTGTAGTCAGTGGAAAACTACGCGACTCTCGCACGTGTCCTATTGCACAATAGTAGTCAACACACACAGGACATAAACTTTTAACTTTTAACTCAACATCCCCAGTTTCTCCTCTCAAGATTTTCTTCGGAAACTCATTCGGAAAAAGCTCCATATAACTAGGCCTTTATAGATTATGCTAGCATAATTTTTGGCATAATTTGAGCAAACTGGCATAATTTCTGCCAAGTAGCAATGCTAGCATAATTCGCATATTTTGATAAATATCGGATCATTTTTGATGCTACAATTTGATCATTGTTCATCTCTAGACTCTACTCCCAAGCACTTGGTGACGTTATACGATGTTTTAAGTTTTAGTTCAAGTAGTAGCATTTCTAGTTCACTGTGAATCACTGAGTGGCGTCTGAAACGGTCTGAGCCCGGGTCTGGGGTGCACCGGAACCGGAAGTCACATTGTAGGCCATGTATAGTCTAGTACTAGTAGGCTGGTGTGCATGACTTGAACCATATGTTTATTTGAATTTCATTGTGGATTTGTTGCGTTTATTTCTTGTAGACCAACGGCTTCTAATTAAAAAGTGTATTTTTTGGACTTATTTGCAATTTTTCAAAAAGCATAATTTAAAAAAGGGGGCATAATGTGGAAAAAAGGGCATAACTTTTAGCATAATTTCGCCAAAAAAAGCAATGCTACTAGCATTATCTATAAAGGCCTACATATAACCCCATACATTAATTATGCATTCCATTTCATAGACTAACTATAAAGCTTTCTTTGCAACACTCTATGCATAATTAATGATGGGGTTTTATGGAACTCTTGCGAACTCATTTTCCCCTCCTGCCGCCAATTTTTCTTTCTTTACACTTCCCATCGATATGATTAATTACAATCCGTATATGATTTGTACGTAGTGTTTCACATTTTATTGTCTTGATATCTCAACTCATATCAACCTGACATCCCATAGATTAACTCGAGCGAAGTGTCTGTAGTAATGAAGACGGTAACTCGCTTACGGAGCACTCAATAATGCTCAAATTTAATTATAACATAACCAAAGTAAAGCGCGCGCTCTGATTGGCCAATTTAGCGTCCCCCATTTGCCCATGGGTGTACGCTGCTAACATGT